ACTTGTGATCATGCGGTCATCAAAGTAGGCGTACACGGAGTTCAGACCCATGAATACGTCACTGATGAATCTATGAAATTTTGTTCAGCATTTATAATGCTGAAAGGCATGCTCAAGGGTTTGCAGTGTTCAAAACGAGTGGTGATAGCTTTTTTAAGAACGCTCTAAATAACACTGTAATTCGGAACAGTGTTCGGGGCCGTACGTGAACATTTGTAACCCCGGTTGAGAGGAGTGTGTGAAGAACTGAAGGCAACAGTTCCAGACCTGATCTTGCTACAGCTGGGATTAATATTTGGTTAAGTTGGAACATTGGAGATTTCTCCTCAGAATATGTGTACGACCCTCCCTTGAATACTGCTCTTTTGTCTTCTCTAATATGAATATCACAGACAGGATAAGAGTAGAAGATGTTCAAAGACGTTTCACACGCCAACTGCTAGGATGTAATTCGAATCTCGATTACACAGATAGATGTAAGCACCTCTCTTTAGAACCTTTATGGCACCGTAGGCTAAAGAACAATTTAATATTTCTCTACAAAGCTATATGTGAGCTCTCCTTTCTAACCTCCTGCCCGACTATCACCCACGAACCAGTCTATAGACTTAGAAACAACGCATATACACTACTTATCGTAAAACACCAAAAACAAATGCGTTGTAAGTTTTTTACAGTACGGTATAGTTTATTTTGGAACAGGCTGCCAATGCCTATCCGCAACTGTGATACGTTTACCAGATTCAAAAAGCTAATAACCCTATTTCTAGACTCCAAAGAGCTTCAACATTCCCTTGAACTCCCGCCCACCAATCAGGCACTTTATTACGGACCGCCTAGTATCTAGAAAGAACAAGATTATAACAAGTTCGACTGTTACTAATATGAATATAACCAAATCACAGAATATACGGCTTGTCCTTTCCTATTATTCATTGTTTATTAATGATGGCCTTATGCTCCTAACCCTAGCTTTCAGTTCCCAAATCTCTACAGGTTAAGTGTACATTATTCTTCCTAAAAGTCGCGCCTTTTTTTCTACTGCAAGTAGACAGAGAGCTCAATCTTATGGATGCTGATCTACTAAGGCCGATCATACAAAGCTCAAAATCTGGCCACAAAGTCTTGTGAGTTTCTTAATGTTTTATTTTTCTTACCCTGACATCTTTTTTTTATTTCTACAATTTTATACCCTCTCATATCTTTTGATTTGCTATTAGTCCTTACTTCTTTAAACCATTAGTTATTTTCATAGCAGTGTGATATACTATGTGGACATCTAACCCATAAAACAGACTTTTCAACTATCTGACTTGCTTGTAACGTGGACCTAGTAGAGACAGTGTATTCCGACCATGGGCTTTGATTAAAACAGTATTCATACTTACCACAAACGTAAGAGAGCCTAACATCACAAAAGGAGGGAAGATGGCATTACTGACCTGCAAACATGATGGTGGGGAGATAAACTCAATCCACCCATGTCTCTAGGGCAGAACAATTTGTTTAATTACGGCTCCTTATGGTTTAGTGGGATGTCACGAACTTATGGTATTGATGCTGATTTATTATGCAAAATACCTCATTAAATCGTGTTACGAACGTTGAATTGGTTTCACTTCTTATCCAGAAATCCTATTACAAGCAAACCAGACAATTCGCTAATATACGAAGCCTACTCAAGACCCTATGATACCTAAAAAAAATAATAACACAAAGAAATGAAAAGGGCTTCAACAGCTTCGATAAAAAAGGAAGCTAGTCAATTGTATACCACAATACTGTTTTTAGCACTATATTTCATAACCACACATAATCCTATACTCTCAGCTCCTTTCCGAATCGTCTCCATTTGTCAGTTGTATGTCCACTCACACCTTGTTAACACTTATTTTCTTTAACCTGTTAAAATGCTCTTTCTTAACAAATACCTTAATAAAAGAAAATTAGGCTGAGTAATCATATCTTAAACATTCGTTCATGAATATTGGCTACTCTGCCTCTCGTCCTTTCTTTTACTTGCTCCCTCTTTCAGCCCCCCTGTGATATGGAATGAAAGATTTCATCCTGCACCATCCTCAAAGGCTTAGACATTCCAAAGGGACATAAGGCTGCGACATTTAGAAGCTCCTACCTTCAATGGACCTGTCCTTGACCATTAGTTGCACATTTGCAACGCACTTTTCATGAAGCGCGCCAACTGTGGTACTGATTAAAACCATCTACATTCATATCTTATAAATTATCAACCCAGCTGTGTAATTTACTACAGTGGATATTGTATCGTTTGTATCAGTTTGATCTTGCCTGTAAACTGGCATACCTCATGTAACAAACCGTTATTTGAGAATGAATTATTATTATTATTGTTATTACTATTATTATGATTTAGAACATTTTGGATATATTGTATCCAGGGTCTACTTTGTCTGCGCTGCGAATTCTGCACTAGACATAGATGTGTACGCTTAGGAGCAAACGGGATGTCTCCGTTATGTCGGTGGAATCCTTTCAATACACCATCTGCTCGTAAGTAGTGAACGACCGTACTGAATTTTACGGCTGCCGGGAGTTTACTTAGATTATGGAAGATTCAAATTCTATCTGACGTCCAATGCTACCTCAATAGTTCATGGGCAACAATAATAACAATCTTTTAATGGAGGAGCTTGTTTTTATTTCAGGAATAATATAGTTGATAGAAACTCCTGATTATCAAATAAAGCGATCACTATTTGTTCAATGAAATTCTCTGTCAGATGCTGTAAGGAACCCTCAGATTAAGATCTACGTGATCAAAACATATTTAGCGGTAAATTAACCCTCGAAATTAATAATTCTGTAAGTCTCCGTCATTAGTGGTTATCTTATCAGTCTTGATTGATACACCCTGGATGAAGACAATTGGTGATGCATCCGCACAAAATTACCACTTCATACACCTTGTTACTCACCTCTTGTGACAATTAGCCAAGTTAAATGAAACGCTTTATGACATATCGACAATTTCTCAAATATATCTTCAAACACTTTCGTTCCTGACTTTTAATTTGACTGGGTTGGAGTCTTTCGATTACAGAGGTGTGGCATCTTTAAGTGTATCAGTAGTTTAAAAACAACCTGATAAATATTTAAGATATCTCGCAACCTTCAATTCCGACGACTAACACGCCAGCATGTCCTTAATCTCATGTCATATACCATTCCTAACTCGCCAAATTGCCAAGACGGTACATAAGATGACAACCTATCACAGATGTCCGACTATAATGCTTCCCAATGGTCAGACGGTTTTTGTCTTTTGATATTTTCAACATATTAGCATTTCCAAACCCGCCCCATTCAGTTTCGGTTGGAGTTTAAGGGTTATTGGCGACAACTAATGATGAATATCAATGTTTTTCTTGAAAGACAAATTGCTTCGAAACGATTAATGGAAAAAATCCCCGACAAAGTATTCGGTAATGCATTATCCACCCGTGAAATATATTATATACTTAAAGCAAATTGCAAAACTGAGTCTATTTGGTTGGAATGTCGTAGACAGCATTTGTAGACTAATGAGTTTAGATAAGGTTATCAATACCTACAGTCTAAGAAAGTGATGAACCGTCGTAATTCAGTGGTGTCCAAAGTGCCTTAACACAGAACAGAAAGTTCATTAACCGCCTCGAATATCTTCTGACTTGCAAAATAATGTTGATGTGGAGTTGCAAAGTATGTACTTCACATACGAAGATGTTTCGCAGATGTAGTCGTCACTCTTAGGAATTCCTTCGCAGGCCCTATGTCGATTACCGAAAAAATACTCTTATCCCCCAATATAGATCTCGAGTCGTTAATTCTCTGTGAGATATAACGAGTTGGATTGGTTTAAGAATTTAGTCATTTACAATCACCAACAAGGCTCCAACAACTACTAGCCTTTAGTTGTAAATAAATCCACAAAATGAATAGTTCGGTAAGTCTTCGACATTTGGTGCTGATCTCAATGGTTTTACTGGACATATCAAGCTGAAGGTGATCGACCACGCATACGCACCGGATCATGAATGGGTAATCCGTGTTACGCATCCCTTACAACTGCTAGCTAGATTAGATCAAACGTTCCCACGACATATCGATAGCCTCCCAAATATATTTTCAAACACCCCCATTCTCGAACTTACTGTTAGCCTACATTTGTTCACACTGAAAATTCCGTTGTTTGGGAGGCTACAATTTCGTAGTAGTTGTTGATGCTCGACTTACTTTATCAAACACTGGGGCTGTAACCTCCGGGATACTCTGAAATTATTTTAGGCCAAATAAAAAATAGTGGATTCAGCTTGTCAGTTCACGTGACAATAACTCACAGAACCGCTATGAAACCAGCTGTGACACTGGATAACGTACTTGGCAAAAACTTAGATCGGCATGTAGACCACTAACGTAGACGAGCTATGTCGAATAATTGACGGTCTAATCGAGATAGACGGGAATGATTTGATGAACCAGATAACTTCGAAGTCATACCTCGTGGTCTGCACCTAACGTTGATTACCCCTTCGTCGCATCAAGATACTATGATTTCCTTGAAGACCGCATAAAACAAAGGACGTTTTTACGGAAATATAATAGTGAAAACTGGTACAGAGAAGATAGTACGACCACCACCTCATAGGCTAGTCCATGGCCTACGATTAATTAATCCGCGTTGGTTGTCCTTAATCATATGGGGAACGATGGACTGTTCGACATTCAGTGACCCAACTGCTGGATGATTTGGCTAGGGCGCAGTGCCATTTCACTGGCCATACAGGCCCCAAAACAAACCTGAAAGATGCAAAAACAATTCTCAGGCTCTTCGTCCTCAAAGAATTAACCTAGACCTTCAGTTTCGCTATGCGCAGTGCCGATAACTCGAGGAAAATATTCACGACTAATGAATTTCATTTTGTATGTATCGTTCACATAGTATATGTTGGCGAAGCTATTGTTGTAGTAAGTCCAAACAACTGAACTTGCAAAGTACGACAGAAGCTCTCAGTTTGAAATTAAGATGAGATTACGTGTTGTCGTACAACAAATTATTCGGACACCATTCTGTCTTCATTCTACTCTGGTGCGTTTTTAAGTTTGGTCTTATTATATATTATTCTATAGATCTGATTGTAAAACCGATTCACCAGAACTTATCGATCCTTGCTTCAAAGAACGCCTATGATCACGGTCTTAAATAATCCATATTGTTAAGGCCATTTCGTACGTTGGCTTTAATGTGAATCACTTTAGTCGGTGGCTTTTGTTTGTGGCCATCCTAAAGGTTGATTAAATTTCTGTGAAGTTGAAAAGTGCACCTCACATTAAGTGCGAAGCATTCGAAATTCTTTAGCAACAGAAAAAGTCTAATTTCTTCATAGGAATGAGCAAACCGACTAGCTGAAACGCCACTCATGCTTCATAAAAAGTTCTTTTGAACTGCTATTCACGTGCCCATCGTTACACATCTACTTTGCCAAATGGACAATTTTCTTACCAACACGCTGTTAGTTTTACTTAAGAAGTGTGTTGAAGGATTTACCTGGAAAGAGACGAAAAAAATAAGAGTTATCAAAACCTTTTTACTGTCTGAAGAGAATCTGCTGAATAATTGCATTTATATAAAAGTTAGATAAAGTCTCGCCCTAGTGGCATTGTTTGTATATTTTACGATTAACATTGGGAAGAAGAACTATTTGCTTTTATCCAAAATTATACTTTTTGTCGGGCGTTAGTCAGTTAAATCTAATATCCGCCTGTATCAAGTTATTAATTAACAATACATATGAAATTCAACCTCAGGGATACTACTCGTCTTTGAATATATAAAGTTCCAACAACACTTTAAGTCTTGATTTCATATGATTTTCTCCATTTGACATCTTTTTCGCCGTGAAACCCATTGTTACTCTATACAAATTTAGTTTGTGGTGAATTTTAAGACAATAAGTAACGTTTATCTGTACCCACACTTAATAAGCATCATCTCTTAATATCCTATGTATGTCGATTAGCAAGTTGGTATAAGTTAATTTTGAAGCTTAACTTTAAAATAACCCATTCACCGATTGCTCTGGTACCAGTCACAATCTAATTGTGAAGACCAATAAAATCACTTGGCTGCCAAAACTGAAGTGGACGGAGAAATGTATAAACAGGAGGTTTAATAGCTGAAGGTCGAATACCTTAACCATTAAGTTACCGTCCCACATAACTTAGTTATGATCTGCTAAGAATATCTTAAAATTGTAGCAATTTTGATACATTAGAGTTGTCTATTCTGTTGGGATTTATAAATAGATTGGATATGCCAACTACCTCATTTTGCTCATGTTTTACTGATTGTGAATGCTCTATAAACAAACGTTATATCACATGTTGGATTGTTTTACACTGCCACTATTGTTGGATATAGCCAAATGTAAGTCAATCAAAGTATGGAAGAAATTGATAGATCTACTGATTTGTGGTTAGATACTTGAGTTAGAGCTCGGCGTCTGAATATTTGGGGTGAAAAGATGTAGAACAAAAACCACAGAAAATTTTGTGAATGATGTTTTCAAGAATATGAATCCTTTAATACTCTTTGCTTTTTGTTCCATATCACATAATTAACTTCCTCTTTTTATTAAACTCCCTTGGTTACCGCCGTTGTCTGTTGTTCTCGGGTTTATTGGTGCCCGTTGATTCGGACCAAGAATCTTTGTGCAAGTTTCTATCATGTTGCCTTGTTTATTTGAATAAATGAGCTTAAACGACAATGAAAAGTCAGCTTACTAAAAGTATCTGGAAGTGACTGTACAACCGTAAGGTAGTAATGTGACTTTATGTTCGAGAATAAAAATCATATTTTTCACATCTTTAAATTTATTTAGGTTGTTACGTAGAATTGTATGGGGTTAAAATTAGCCATAATTTGTTTTCGATATCTTGTACTTCAACATTGACTACTAAGAATGTTTCATCTGGAATGTTAATGATTCCTATTGAGCTGATATCAAAACTAATGACAAAACGTCTGACATTTCATTCTACTTTCTTGGCTTTCGGTCTATCTATTTAAAAATACGTAGCTAACATATTTTGGAACTCTTCATCATCTAATTTAATTTTGATGAGCGTCGTTGACGCACATGAAGTATAAAAACCCTTTCCATTCGTATTGTTCTCTGTCCAAAACTTAAAAATAGGTTTTTATTAGTCGTTTGTGTTTGAAATAAAAGTAAATAGATACTGAAAGTAGTTTACTTAAAGCTTCTGTTATAATATTTAGGGAAACTTTTCCCCTACTAACCACAATTTTGGTTAACAGCCCTTCAAGAATAGTTGGAGTGGGTTCTCGAAGTAGTATTTAAATTATAATAACTATGAAAGTTCTACATCCTATTTCTACCTGACACTGCATTACTATGACGCGGTCAAGCACAACCTTACTATAGTTAAAGTAATTATCGAATAGCTTTGACAAAGTATATGATATCCATTCGGTTGAAGTAGCTTAATTATGGATTTATTAGGTAACGGATGGTTATAAGTTCTGTTATCAAAACTCATTTTGCTAAACAAAACATTCACCTCAACTTAGTCTGTCCATTTTCGAACGTTTCCATCAAACTCACGTTTATTTATTCAGGTTACAGAGCTAATTATATCCCTAAACTCATGGGAAAAAGAAACGTTTTTGTAATTGGAAGCTATTATGGAAGAGGTATGCATTTTCAATTTATATGTCTATATCATGCCCAGGATTTAAGTCTATCTCATAGCTGCACACCACCCGAACCACCGGTTCGATCTTCCAGTACTATGTAAGTTAAGCCTGATACATTCATGCTCAATAATTCTAGGCATCGACACCCCTTGAAGGTTGCACCCAAAAAACCACTCCCAGATCTGCCAAAGAAAGCTGGAAGAAGCAGAAGTAATTTCATATCATATCATTGCATTTTTCCCTATTGTGGTTTTACATGACAATATCTAGCTTATTTCGTTAAATAATGCTCGTGTACAACTCTTAAAATCTTTTTATTTCTAGCACAAATGCTGTAGGCCTAAAAACAGGAACATAACTGTCTTTGAAAATTATTTCGTCAAGAAATAAATGATATGAAAAACGTTTTAAAACGCTATCCGAAGCTACAATAGCCTACCAAAGGCTTTGCATGATAGTAATGTAATTGTGAAATATAGAAACCGCGAACGGTTGTCTTGAAATATTAACAGGCTCCGTCTTAATATTTTTGCTGGTTAGATTTTCCTACACATCTTACCATATGTTACTTAATATCGTGTGCTCTGAGGCAATTAGAACGATTTTATGTATCAATACTGTTATTTTGGAAGCCTGCTGGTTTTCTATAGTTCTCTAGTTAAGCGTCTCGCTTCTGGAATATTTAGGTCAACTTATTCTCTGTTAAAATACCGGTGTTGTCACATATGATCAGTGACTGAATTTTATTAGTCAAGAAATGTGATATCTTTATTAATGCAAGTGATGTAACGTAGCTATATTATTCACAACCATTTTATCCACCAGGAAAAATGCCTGTAGTTATTCAGGGAGAAATTCGGAACCCAAGAAACGTTATCATTTTCAATTGAAACGAGGTGGATTAGTAGTATGAAAGTACTTTTGAAAGTTTTCGAAAAAGTTAGAAGAGCGTTTATTCCGTTGTTTATAATACAATTTCACTTGCATTTAGGCAGTGAAATGTCAGTAAAAACTTTCCGTGTAAGGGATAGAATAAATTATGCAATACTAAAAGTCAGCTGTCTTTAATTAGAAAAGATGAATTAAAATTGATTGTATTAGTTTGCTTTAAGCTTTGCTCTGTTCATGGATGAAACAGAAAGGTACTCTATCAAAAATACCAAAGGCAAGCATCGTTAATGACCCTATATTCTACTATAATTGCTGTTTGTTAATGGTGTATGTACTTTGGTTCAAGCGATTAAATACATTAGTTTATGGGTCACGGATAGTTCTGATTGTTGTATATGCTGTATAAAAAGAGACATAATAAAATATCCTTCATTGCTTGAATCCTATATAGCTTCCTTGGACGTGCATAAACGACTATTTAGATGGAAATATATATAATTTTCGTTGATTTTTAAGTTTTTTAACTTCTGGTCACATATTTAAGTAAACTAATTTCACTTTATTGTAGTTAGATTATTCAGGTTACCTAAACTGACTAGTGATCCGAAAATTTCTTCTCCGTTATGTGTTAGTCATGAACTACACGTGGTCTATGATGAAAATACCGGAGAATTCAGAGTAAGTTTCTGAAAAAATGAAAAAATGAAAATAAATTTACCAGTTCATTTGTATTTTTATTGTTGCATCCGTTGGCTCCTAGTGTTCTGTATTTATGATCAATAAGTTTAATTGAAATTTAACTGTACAACTGTTATTCATTTGTTCTTTTATAATAAACTATCCTAAAACTTCAACAAGAAGTTAAAACAGACAAGACTACTCATGTAGATAGCTATCAAGATCACTAACAGATATTTCCTAGACGGGAAAATCTAACAACTTTGATCGGTCATACTTTGGTGCTTGGAGTTTTAGTTATTTACATCAAAAGGATAAAAAACTTTACTGAACCGACACTGAGTTGGCGTGCGCACATTTTAGATAGTTTATTGAGTGAGAAAACACTTTATTATTGCTTTTTAGCTTTATCTGGTTTTCCAGATAATTCTGACCATTGATAAATTTTATATTGGTTTTGATTGGTGGTTGTTTGACTCTCTCTTTCTTCGGTCTTAATGTACTTTCGTCTTAAGCTTAATGTATGTCTGCATCTAAAAGTATGAATGAAGACAAGTTCGTGTTTTTCATTTCATTTTATTCTATATGGCATATCCCATAGCATTCCATACCATGCAAGTACAATATTCTATAATTCACTCTGTTTGACATCGAAATGTGATGGGCCGTCTACGGAAACTTCAATCAATAGTGTCCTAAGAAAATTTCATTTACTTTTCTTGTGATCAATGCAAGCAAATAAATTTGATGAAATTTTGTTACGAGGTTTCATAGAAATTAGTTTAACTTATACGTCGTATTTGTTACGATGTCGTTAGTTTTGGTTTTAGTGCAAATTGCTTTACAGTAGTAAGTGATTACTCAACAAAGCTCACTCACAAACTCCTGTTGATATAGCTTCAAACACCACATGCAAATCGATCTAATATGGTCTAAACCTCTTGGAAAAAATACAATAGTGCACCCACAAGTGATTTACTTTGAGGTGAACCAACTTGGTTTAAGTGAGAATTTGTGATTATCGGAGTTTGGCAATGATATTAGACAACTGCTACGTTGTTTCACAACCCAACTGAAATTGGCCGGTTCGATTGTTGGGCTTTATTTCAGCGATTTAGAAGTGAAGCGCTAGCTACACGACCTATGTAGCAGGAAGTTAACCTTCGGTTTAGGTGTGGAAGTTTTGTACGTGAGAAGACGTCTATACCTTTGTTTCTGATTTTTAATTGTGTCCAAACATATGTGCATCTATAGTGAAGACCATAATAAAACAGAAAAAATCTCTATTTTTTAACTTCGATAAATACTGCCCCAATGTAAAGGGCACTGACTCTTTTTAATTAATTGTAAGGAAAGGAATATCTACAAAACGGAAACACGGTATTTTATTTGCTTTTATCAATATCAGAAGTGCATTCCTTTTGATTGTTTTACTGTGGCTTTTTGAATGCATGTAATAACTTTTGAATGTCCAGTTATATGTTATACATATTCTTAATAAGTTTTGCAGAAACATTTAAATTGTTTTACATCTGAATGTTAACCATAGTTTCTCAATGAATTAGTAAAGTGGACTACCCACTTAATAAGTTTTTTCTTCCAGGGAATGCCTGAGGAGTGGTTGGAATGGTTACATGCCGCTAATATATCATTTCAAGAGCGTGAGCAAAACCCAGAGCTCGTTATCGAAGTTTTGCAGTGTTACGATACGGCTAAACATCGGGCTAGGAGACAAAAGTTTATTATGACGGAAGAACATTGCTGGGGTAAGTGAACACTTGAGATGCAATTTCTTATCACTGAAATCTTATTATCACAGAATGAGTAAGCGAAATACTGACTAGTGTGACTGAAAGTGTAGATGTTTATTAGTAGTGGTAAAGTTACGTTTGCATTTAATTTGTGTGTACAGTAGACGGCTCATGTTCATAATAATATTTCGCAACAATAAGAATAATAAGAATAATTGTTTCACAAATATGACCAATAGTCAATGAAACTCAGGAATGATACAAAATATTATATGAGACTTATGTTTCATATTATATGCTAGATCTAAGTGTTGCTTACTATCCTAGTCGAGCCAACAATTTATTTTCATGTAAATAGGAATCTGAGATTGAGGGGAATATTTGAAGCTCAGATGGATACTTTTGATGTTCACCTGTTTTCTGAATTCAGTGGCTCAGTTGGGAGTCCTTCATTGTCATTCTGGAAAAATTCATCGGCAAGTAATTCATGTGGAAGTGAAAATTTTGGTTATTCCACAAGCTTTAAACTAATTTGTTCGAATGATCTTGTCTTAGCTTGGTTTTCTTCACAGATTTCGTCATCTTCATTTGTTCTGGTATTTCTGTAGGCTATCTTGTTTGGCTGACCTCTGGATTCGATGATGTTCGACTTTTTACGCATGAGCCGGTGAAATGATTAATGTAGATTGGTCTAAATGCCATGCTTATAAGATATTCTTAGAATTTTCTCTGCTTAACATTCAGACAAATGCTTATCTATAACTGTCGACGTGCAATAATATCAGTAGTAAAAAATCATGTAGCTTTTTGACCATTCTGTGTTCATGTATGCGTAAATGAAGGCATGTTCTTACTTAGCTACATTTGGTATTCTTTTAATTTTTGTATTTGTCACGTTTCGTCTTTCTCTCTTCTGCAAAACATAAAATAGAACGAAATGGCTGTATATATATTACATAGTCCTGATAATCTTCGTTTTCCTGGTACACTATTAAAATTTGAAAACCTTAAAGTATCCATAACCACTTGATTATATATGAAAAACTAGGTGTTGAAGTCATGGTATGATGACAGCTTTCATGTGACGCTTTTAAATACACAGCTCGAGTTTGAAATGATGAACCAATAACAGCTCTGCAGCGGAATGATTTATAAGATATTGTTGTAATGTTATTGTATCTATAATTTAAGTTAACTAGTTTTAAAAAACTGCTTAAATGTTTTTGCATCTCACGCGTAAATCTGAGTATTGTTTGAGTTTAAATAAATGATTATTTGACATATAAATAATAGTAATTCCATAAAATTTGTCTTGCTCATCTACTTAATACCAATAATATTAAATAAAATCTAGTTATTTGACTCTTATTACTATGGATGTCAACAATCTACTGAACGAAATTTCATTAATTTTCACCGGAGAGCACAAAGGTCAGTGTGAAGGGGTATACAGGTAATGATGAATGTCGTATACAATTATCTTAATTTCAAAAGAAAGGCATTTTCGGCATTTAAGACTCACTAAACCTGAAATTCACCAAACATTACTGAAACACTTTTAAAACATCTATCTAAATAAATTATCATTTAGTTGTTTCAAATAGATGTACGAGATAACATGACTGGGTTGATAAGAATAAAACGTTGTTACCAAAACTGAAAAATTACACCATTTGTTGAAAGTAGACTGTTTATTAGACATTTAGAAAATTACGTTTTTGATTGTTCGTACAGACTCCAAGATCCAAAAATGTTGTTCCTCATTTCGATTGTCTCCCTTGTTCATGTGGGCCTTTTTGATGGTCATTCTTTTGTTTTCGCTCTTATTAATGTGAAGCTGGAGACTAAGATTGACTAAACAAAACTGCGCTTTACGACAAATTAAAACTGGACGAGTATTATGTACGGAGGTCCTGTCAGATATAGTTTATTATGCTTACCAAGAAAGGGTAAATATTTCTTTATGCTATGACATGAGTATAAAAATTGAAAGATTGTTATCATACAACAAATGTGATTGGTATACGCATAAATCTGCTGTCAGGTTGGACAATTTTGGTAATAAGAAATATAAAGAGCTGAAATTTTTATATAATTCCTGGTTCCTAATAATCAATAAAAACAATTATTCTACTCAAGATACAGGGAATAAATTCACATTTTTCGTTAGTTGCAAATTTAGTGGGAATAAAGATCTTGCGTTTCATTACTAACTATATTATGTGAAACGTTTGTCGTATTAAGCTGATTATGTTCATTGGATGTAAAGCATGTGTAAGCTCTTGTGTTTTAGATTAGATATTTTAAGAAGTCATTTAGATGTGTTAATTAATTTTACCTACTCTAATTTTTTTTATCAGTTTCTTCGTAAATTTGTACTTTCAGTAATCAGTAATGTCATGATAAAATCCCCCAATTATCTATTTCGATTTCTAGTATGAATAACTAATCAATTAGATATATGATCGAAAAACCTTTTGCTCCTGTCTATCTCTCCGTCTTTCTGTCGCCCAATTTGTATTAGTATTATCACATATTATTTTGTTTGGCAAAATGCAACCAAATCTTATAAATTATATCCTGTGCATTGTTTTTTTTATAAAAAAAACAGAACCTAATTATCTGGTTTGTGATTATTCTTTTCCTAATAAAATTGTAGTAAGACAGGATATACTGCACGTTCAGTTCTCTTCAGATTTTGAGAGAGAGAGAGAAACTGTGAAATGATTTGTTTATCCTTGGGAAGATTTTAAGCTCCTGACGACCAAACAAGTCTTATATGAACATAACCTAGATATTAAATCAGTCTTATTTGTCAACTTACACATAAGAATACAGATGTCTGTTTGATAGATGAACCAAGAAATGTTGCGTACACACAGGTGATAGTCAAACAACAGTATTAGCACATTAATAATCAGTCTATTATTGTTATTTATAATGAAATGAACAGTGCTTACCATCCGTTAAAATGTTGTTGTATATTAGTTACTTTAGACCTATGAGATAATTAAAAAAATAAATCTCAAGAAGAACTTTGAATAATGCTATATTCGAACGTCTTTAAACACACTTAAATTTAAATAGTTCCAAATAAATATTACAGGTAGGCAGATATCTGCTGGTCATTTGATTTAACTGTAGAACCTAATCTATCACTTATAAGAAAGAACTTTAGCTGATTACCATCCTTAGATTGCTAAGTACAATATCAATATATTTTATTATATGACTTATAAGAGAATAATATGTAATGATCTACCAACTACTTCTTTATAATCGTCTTTTAGCAATAAAACGTTATTGTTCCTCTCCTCATTAACTGTAGCAAGTACGAAGTATTGATTGACTGCACTTGTGAGTCTGAATTTTTGGCACTATATAACTTCTTGCAGTATGACAATAAATGGTATTACTTTATTGACTTACAGTCGAATTCTACAACAGGATTATGAGTGGGAAAACAAATGTCTTTGTCAACGAACAACGTCTAAGTATGTGTGAAATGTAAGCAATCTCAATGTGGCAGTTACTAGATGAATACTTCACTAAATTATACTGTTTGTTGTCGTACATAGTTTTGAAAAGTATTCATTTCAATTAGTCGGTTACTTCATCATTTTTAAAGACAGGTGTTCATGAACTTCGTTTGCTATGAATTTAAACTAACTAATACAAATGAGGGAATTTGTCTTTATATCTAAAGATCATTGCAAGAAAATGAGGAAATTTAGGAATAAGAAGTTAATCGAAAAAAATGGGAGAGATTACTTGTAAAACTAATTTATAATTATTACCTAATGATTACTTGTAAAACAAATTGAGATAAACTGAAAGCTGAATTAATCTGCAATTGTTAAAATAGATGATTAGACTATTTATTGATAGAAAAGTAATAAGATAAACATTCTATGAATTTACTAGACCTTGATTCTATAACGACAGAAGGAACATCTATGTCAATAGGTTATTTGTTGTTGAATCAGTACTTAGCATACTGGTAACGATCTAGCATATTTGACGTCGTGAGCTTTAAAACTATTGGTAATAAGACTGATCAGTATGTCTACTGTTATACTGATTATATTTCATGATCAAGATTTTCGTCCCAGTTAGTCTTTTATTCATCATTATATTAAGTTAAAACTAAATAGCTTCCTACTAATAAAGCAACTGACGTACATTCTTGATAACGCATCCCTATATGACTAGTGTGGTCTTTCGTCTAATCCTTAGGTAAATTCTGCGAATAACTGAAATTCCTATTAATTATGAGGCTAGCCAGTATATCAAATAAAATTTTAGGATTTCTTTGGATAAAGAAAAATTAATTAGTATCAGTTATATTCAACATTTCATGTCATTTATCTGTATTTGGTAATGATAATTTCTGAGTAGTGATATACAGCTTTCACAATTAATAACAGCAATGCTTTAACAAAATTATGATATGCGTTTAATTTCGTGGTAGATTTGAAGTACCCAAAATTAATTAAAAATGAATCTAGATTAGTGCATTTGAAGTGTGTTTAATTATAAAAATAATGTCACCAACAATTTAACGATTATATGTAATATAATAAAGTTTCTTCGTTGATATGCATATTTTTCAAATGAATCTGAAGATGAATGTGAATGTTCATCTTATTTGAATATTCACTTACTTACTACATTCAGTACACAATTTAATACGCAGCTTAGCCTAGAGTAATAACAATCTTTTATCGAAAACGAAGCTGTTGACAACTTTTCATTTGAAATAACCAGTGTTGTGCTGACTTCTCTAAACACAAACTTACTGTTTCTTCTGGGTTTTTTTTAAATATCGACCAATGTGGTTCTAATCTGTTAAATATGATCCTTTATTTACCTCTGTAGCTTATGAATTGAAAAGATCGTTAAAATGTTTTTATTAAATGCTACTTTGAATTATTTTCTGCATTTAGGTTAATTTACAAATCCATTTTCCGTAGATTCACACTTATCCAAGTCTTTGTACATCTGTATATTAACAAAAACAAAAATGGTTTATTTTGACTCTCATAGTTATATATTAGCGCTATTATTGTAAAAGTTGGAGTTACTGTTTCTGACCTTATATTAAGTAACTATCCATTATAAAGTACTTTTCAGACCAAAATTAAACAAATGTCCTGTGTTCCCTGGTCATCAATAGTTTGTGTCAAAAACTGAATTCATGGAAATTTATATGGATTGTAAATCGAGATGCCTGTATACTAGATTTATTTAGTGTGACTCAATGTTTTTGTGATAAGAGTAATAAATTATTCAGTCTATTGCAACGAGAGCATGAAAACAGATTAAGTCATTTGAATACATTTTTATTTGGACATTATTTTATAAACGATGAAACAGATTATTTTTTAAAGTTTTATTCCGCTTAATCTAGTTAGTAACTGTTTAATTTTAGCATAGATTTTTTCCAAATTTAGTTTTTTCCTATTCATTCAGTTATCTTTTAACAAAAATAGTATTCAAAATATCACACGATACTTTAAAGAGCTTCTTAATCGATTCTAAGTGTGATCAATTATGCAAACAAAGCGAATGAATATGGAATACATTTCTGAATAATTATCTAATGTATTCCCAATAGTTATGAACTCATTATGAAGAGTAATGGATATATAGATTGTGAAATATGATTAATCTTTTATTAACAAGAATATTTCGTCTCCATACACCAAAACATTCTCAATAAATTCGAGCTTCATATAATTTGTTCTCTAGATTAATTCCAGATATCAACAACACAGCAAACATTGTAAGATGAAATGATAGATGGGCTGTTGTTACTGGTTGTTTGCTTTCACAAATAATTTATACGAAAACTCTACATCTTCCTTCCCATTGTAGGTTTGCTAACCCATGTACGTATTAGCCCTTTTTTCAAACTTTCATACCACATTGAAACATTACTTCCTCTTTCATCACAATTACTTCGATATAGCATTTCGTCATTGGTATAAAGCTTATAATCCCGTGTTTTATACTTCACTGTCTTTCACACTGATCATATTCCCACATAAATTTAACTCCTATTTTCAAGCAGAGTAATTATAATTATTGTTTATCCGTAAACTAAATATTTTTTCATATGAAACCACATTCATAAAACATTTAGTTTAAAATTATGGGTGGAATTATAAAGGACTTAGAGAACATGAGATGAACAAAATTCGTTTCAATCTGCAACATTTTTGTTCTTAGTTTACGAAATTTAGTCTTTCACAAAGTTTTAGTTTTGATTTCGGCTATACCATTCACAGTGTAGAAGCTTAGGCTCAAGTCCTCAGCTGTCTATGATCGATCACATCATTAGGACAATAACTGACATTTTTTGATTAAACGGATAATATACTGTTCAATTATTGGGTATTTTAATGAACTGAAAAAATGTTTACTTTAGGGAGGTTATAATGTCTGTCTGTTTAGCTATCTATCTGTATGTATGTATGTTTATATGTACATGAAGTTTGAATGACTAAACAAGAAAGAAAATGGAGTATCATTGTTTCTGTATCTCCCTTCAAATGACCGTATACATGCACAAATATATAGTGCTGATAATGCTTGTCAATTCCATTTTTCAATATTCAATGTTCATGATTAAATATTGTGTTTTATTTAAATACGAATTCAGTTTTGAAGCAGTTGGTGAGAGCGCATGGAGTAAATAATCAATTCATATTGTTCTGAGTCGTGTCCTTCTTGCCTTATTCATATGTATAGAAAAAAATAATTAGGTAATGTAATTAATGTAATGACGTTTATCAAAATGTAGATATAAGTAAGATGATTAAGGTGATTCCAGGATAATTTTTTGCAGTTATTAGCGGGACATAGATTGTATTACATGCTCAATGCACCCTTGCGTTGGCGCACTCTGATTGGCTAATTCTTATCCAATCAGCGTTAGGCAATACTTACTGGACACTAGAAATCACATGTGAAAACCATAAATATACTAACGTTTTCCCTATTGTGCTTCTTACTCCCATCTAACCTTGTTATTCGGAATATAATCTCTTTTCCTGTTCAACCGTGTTCTGATTTGGGGGACTTGTCGAGTGAACTGGTGTCTGATAATATTAAGCAATAGGAATAGCTGGGTTGTAATAAGAGAAAATTATAACAACAGTGTACATTTTAACAAAATAAATCACAGGTTTATGCAACTAATAAAAATGTACCAATATGTTTTTATATTCTTAAGATTTAGTTAAATTGAATTTCAAATTAATTAATTAATGGATAAAATATACGAATTTTTTTAGAATAGAACTTTTAATAAAATTCAACGCTTGTTACATTTACTAATTAAGATTACAATATCAGCTATTGACCAAAATCTTATGTAATAAGAACTTTATCTTAGTAAACAAGATTTTTATTCGCTTTCAGAATGTTATTTTGGCTTTTAATGAAAAGATCTGATATTAGTTCTTAGGAGTTAAAGTAACACTGTTAATATTTCATAAAAATGCAATAATACTGATATGGTTACTGTTTTCACTGTTAAATTCAAGAGTCTAGTACTGTTTGGACTTTCACGTTTATATTTATATATTGAATTATTTCCACTTATGTTTATAAAGCTATTATAACACTTTTCCTATTTGAATTAAAGTGTAAGTTATTTTGTAGGGTTACTGTACTGTAATTTATACCATATGTTAACAGGACTATATCTGTCGTATGAAATGTGTTTGCTTAAATATTTGTCTATTGGTTTCCTTGTTTTAAAATTAGCCCAAGATAAACGTTAATTCTGGAATAACTGAACTTATTTATACTGACCTGTGAAGTACTATTAAAACTAAAAATTATTTCTGACCAATGCTAAACTACTGAAGACAACATTTAAAGTTATTGTATAAAGTGTTTTTAAGAAACTTAGAACTTAATCAAATTAAAATGGAAGAATTGTATATCACTTAACAGTCATTCATCTCGTTTTATAATCACTCAATCTATCGAAAATATACTGTGCAACGTTAATCTGTTGAAAATTGATTCAAATATATATTCCATTAAATCAATTATTTTAGTTTCTTATGACATTTTTGTTTTCACGATATGGATGAATGGGTTTCGTACGATAAATTTTTGATTAATTACTATATTTTTTACCAAATATTAGTTATTGATAATTCAATCATGAAATCACTAACTGGTAAAATTTCCTAATTCAAACAAATAATCAGTGATAAATAACTTAATTTGCAAATAAATGTATTGAAGTGTTGTATTAATTTATTACCCTAACTAAGCAAACTTCTTTTCAAATCATATTGTAATATTTTAATGCCACTATTATTTATATGGAAGCAAAATATCCTTTGACTATCAATTATGTCTAATAATGTTCTTTTAAGAAAACAATGAATCTTTTTAGTTTCGCTAAGGCATTAGAAATTAATCACATCTTAAAATAGTGTATTACATTCCTATTGAATCTCAGCATAAGTTTTTTATTCAAATGATATATGAAATAAGAATTTGTGTAATTTTTGTATGCTGAAAGGTTGTATTTGGTTTTTACATGATACAATGTAAAACGTTTGGCTGGAAATACAACGCCTAAAATTATTTGTACTAAATAATTTTTGATTTAAGATAGAAGGATTAAGTATAAATATATAAATGTAATAAATAAAATATTGTATTAGTGAAAATAACTTAAAAGAAAAAAAGGATTATCAGTATAGGGTTGTGGAGATCATTGAGTTTTTAATGAGACCATGAAGCGCCATTGAAAACCTTGAAGCACTTGATGGCCGTTTAGCTTTAGTGTGGGGACCCCTCAGTTGTTCCTTTTGGTCTCACACAAACTCTTAAGTTCTAGACCAGTGAGCCGGAATCCAATGGTGTTAACGTCTAACTTCAACCAATCCACGATAGTGTGCGACTGTCTTCCATTGTCCATTCGGCTGTTCAGTACTCACAGGTTTTAAATAGTGGCCTAAAACTGATCGGTTCATAATTTTCATTACATAAGCACTTTTATAAACTAACATACAGCTGTATAATTTCCTTTGATCTGATACTACCGATGACTTTTCAGACATAATATTCTGTAGCATATTTCACTTTTCACTACAACAAGTCTATTTTTATTTTAATTTATAGAAAATTTTGAAAATACCACTTCATGTGTATGCCATCAGTTTATAAATAATGAAGTTTCTGCTAATCATAGATGTAGAAACTTTCAACATAATTCAACTGATTCAACTTCTTCAAATGCAATATCTGGAGATTCACCATGTTCTGATCTTTCTATTCCTAATTCATGTCAATTTTCTTGTACGTCAACAACAAAAGATATTCCGCCAACAGCACTACGACGACCACCACCTGTTCCACCTCATTATTCCGTTACTCATCGACAGGATGGAGACAAGAATTTAGAGATAGATAAAAATGTAATTTTGAATTGGTCTAATTTAATGATGATTTTGAGCTAACGATTTGTTGTTGTTAATAATAATAATATTAATAATGTAACAATGTTACACTGTTTGTTTGAGACTTAGTGTTACAACAAAGGCTGACAAAATTGGATGAGGTAAGGCAAGAGTTGATATCGTGACCTTTTAGGGTAAGTTCAACAAGGTTAACCACTGAACTACTGGTTCATGATTTATGTTTATGTGATACTGTAATTAATTTTTACTCCATTGTAACACTTCAAAGAATTGTTAATTTGTCTACCGTTGTTTGAAAAATGTTTTGATGTAGTCTCAAATATGATTTATTTTATGCAAACATGATTTCATGTGCGTTATTTTTCCATTATACGTGTTCTATAAAATCTTTTTGTGTGTAATTTAGTTATCAGTAAACCCTATATGATTTACACCCTTGAGCAAATTAGGCTAAATTTCTCTAATATTATGTCCGTCGGACTGGATTGTAATACTCTATAGCCGATTGATAATAACCAAAACTTTCTTTTGCTAGTTGTCCGATTGTACCACCTAAATTTTTATTAAAAGTCCCGTTCTTTTGCAATAATACATAACGACTTTTATTTAAAGTGAGACAGTTTCTTATAAAAAGCAAAGGAAAACCATCATTGGTCTGCACTTAACCTCAAACATACTCTATTGTTTTATGCTCTTTTAAGTTCTACAACTCACAGTCATCAACTGGCACGAAACAAGTATGTGAGGAAAGCTTAGTATCTGGCCAGTTCTTTATTTTCAGTATGCGGGCGGTGGGAGTGTTTAATTTTACTGAAATTACTAACCAATGTTTAAGGTTTTCAACATTTGTCTAACTTAGACTGAGTTCTGGCATTAATCAATTTCAAAACCATTCGCAACTTCCATACCGACAATCATGATGTGATTACTAGTGAATAGCTTCAAAAAGAACTTTCCGGAGTTCTAATTAGAGGCCTTAACAAATGGAGTTCAATCGTGCTGCATATGCACAAGTCACCCACAAAAGACGATAAGAATTGGTTGTCTAATATCGAGGACCGATCAAAGTTAAACTTGGACAGGATTAAATCCCGGCTCAATTGTCTAGAGGTTAAGTTTTCGTGCGCATGATCTGAATGTCTTCAGTTCGATTCTTAGTGGCTGGGGCGTGTGTAGTCACTGTTGAGGAGCTCCATACCAGAACGAAACAGCAATCCAGTGCTTCTAGGTTTTGGCGATTCTTTTGCGTACTTATTTATGATTCAAATCGGAAACTAGAATTCTTTTCTGAATAACTGAGCAAATTTTGTTTCGTGATTATCAATACACTATTCAAATATTTTACCAGTTCAAATTTTCATACTAACTGTCAATCTGTTGATATGGAATAATGAAAATTATTTATAGCAATAAACATTGTTTTTTTATCTAAATTTTATCGTTATTGTGAAGTTGTAACTTGGTGGTTAAAATTATTGACTTTTAATCACTTAATGGAAGTTTAGGCAGTTAAGTAAGTTAAACAGACATAATACAAGTATTGTAGAAATAAAATAATATGAAGGTTTTCTTGATTATAGATTTATTTACATTTATCCATACCACTTTTTGAGCATAGTACTTTTAACTTATGATAACCTTTCATTTGAAAATAGATATAAAAAATAAAATACCAGTATAAGTACATTTTTTGCTTTCAAATTTTCTGTCCAATCAGTTATGGAAGATAATCGTAAATAAAACAATTGCGCTTGTACATACATTACTTCAGCATTCATAGTCATCTTTTTACTATATGAATAAATAGTAATTAATTAAAATAACTCAGCTCTTATAATTTTAATTTGGTTATCATTTGTTTATAGGAAAAAAAAACTCGTGAATATGTTTTGGTCAAGTTCAACTTCTATGGATAGATTTTTTGGCAAATTCCTGGATGCATTTATACATTAAGTTAGCTGAAGACAGATATGTGTGTAAAACGTCATATACTTCATCATTTACTTTAAACAAAACAGTTTTTATTAGACCATTTGTGGATAAATGGTTGATTTTGTATGAACAGTTAAATTTAAAATGACATACGTTTATGTTACAATACAAATATCTTCTGATTATTTGACTATTACTAGTGTAGTTTGTTTTCAAGATGTGTGCGTTGTATTATTCAGGCTTTAAAAACCGTAAAGATATCTTATTTTCCATGTACTACAAAGATCAAAAGCCCCTCTGATTACACCATAAAGATAAATGTAGATGTATGAATAATATTTGCAGCTTTGTTTAGTCTTAGTTTTTGTTGTTACTCTGTTTCACTAAAAAAAGATTTTATTTTATTAACATTAACATGTACTTTTAATTTCCTGTCATTAACAGAATAATGAAGTTCTAACTACTGAACGAACAAAATCTGACTCGCATTTGGAACAGAAATCGCTATCTGGAAATGATATTTGTTTTGTCGATGCTAATGTAGATTCGGAACATGAATCAATATCCTTTCAGATTTTAAATCTTCACCACCGTTTTAAGGCTTCAAATGAATGTATTGACTGTGAATCCATCCGCAGTTATTCCAATATATTTTACAGCTCATTACCATTAGATGAAACAAAAGAGATAGAAAAACTAGATCGAAAGGAATCAGCTTTTCAAATGATTGATCATGCTAATGACAATGATGAAAAATCTGATAAGAAAAGCACATGTGAAACAGATTTGTGCACAGAGGTGACATTCACTAATGCTTTGCTTGGAAGTAGTCTTAATGAAACAAATAGATTCATAATTGAGGAGGAGCCCTACGGTGTGGAAGAAATCGAGGTTTACGAATCAGAAAAAGTGTCTGATATTATCTCTACTAATAGGACATGTCAGCCTGTCACTGAGATGGAGGTGAGTATAGTAATTTGTAAACCGAATGCCCACACAGATTTGTAATTAATTCAGTATAAGTCATATTTCGTCAATACCTGTTTTTCGAAAAGTATAAAACTGATTTTAAATGACTCTCAGCTCTTTATGTTATTCATAATTTACTGATAAAAATGAGACAAGTTGACTGGTTTTGGAGAAATGTGAACTTTTGTGATTTTTCAGATGTTTTTATCACAAAGGCTATATACTTCTTTGTAAGTAATTTGTGAAATAATTCAGAAGATTTCCATTATTATGTTATCTAAACAGGGACATAATCGTTCACTGGAATAGGAAATTAAGTAGTCAAGAAAAAGAGACTATTTTTAGATTTCATCATTTTTAATAACGTGCAAATTATAATTTTTATTGATGGCAGTTGGATTAACATGTATATCATTTCAAACAAAAATAAGGTTTGGGAGAGATTGAGTTGCTGTGTTGTAGATGTTCTGTACAGACTTGAAACTCGTACATTATAAGTATTATTAACAAATTACTCTATGAATATTGAAGCGAAGTTCATATTTGTTATGAACTACACAAATCTACCTTCTGCTTACTTATATGTGTATTTATGTGTACAAATTTAGTCAATTCAACATCAAATTGTATTTAATCGATCATTATAAAGTTACTGATACAGGGCTACTTACCTAGGAGTACCAATAATATTCTGTGAACTAGACACTCAGTGTGGGCACTAAACTGAATGACGTGATATTTTTAGAAGTTTCTGCTTGTATTAGACATTTTTAGAAAGTCTACTAGAAACCTTTGGTTCGCGTTTGCATATTATGTATTAAAAACCAGCTGGAACATTTATGTTTATAAAGTATATTATAAGTAGGGCTAGTCAATCGTTATCCATAATATCTGGACTTTCCAAAGTTTGTTGAATGGCTTTTCTTCAACCTTAGTCTATTTAAATATATAAACAGTTCGAGACATTTGTACTTACTTATTTATTAAGCTCACAGAATGTAGCTACTAGAATCGGAACTGTCTACATAAGAGTCACAGATTTCTGTGTCATGCTCAATTGGGTGCTTCAACTGATCCTTATGATAACTCGAACATTTTAAATATTAGATAACTCACTCCATTAACATCATGGAACTAACCTTAAGCCCTATTTCTGTTAAGGTATTTTCACGCGAAAACTTTATGGAGTAGCATTGAATGAGGGATTGAAAATAGTTTTATTAGATTTATGCATTTACCTTAGACTGTTATTTGGTATTCTTTGTTAAATAAAGTATGTTTAGAAATGTTTCTTATATACCACTTTTGGGTTAGGGATAGGTTGCGAAAGTAGTTTTGTAGCTACTGGATTGTAAAAAAACTTTCCGGAATCGCTAACACGAGCCATAAACTTCTGATTAGTAGCTAATAAGTATATGATTAGTTAGAAATTATTGTAGAAATATCAGTGTTAACAAACGGCTCCACAATCTGTTACATAACGCTTTAAAGAAAAATTCTTGGGCTCATGAAAATGTTACACTTTAGGTCTTCTGAAATAGACTGTATACATATACAACAGCTTTAAAAAATAAATTACTAACTTTGTGTGTTAACTTAATCTTCTTCAAAACCATTTAAACCACAAAACAAGATTTCATTAATTAGTGCTTATTTAAAAACAATAAACAAACATACTCTACTTTAGAATGAATTTTACTTGCACAGTAACTTTGCCAATTACATACTTGTAAGTAAATAAACACTACTTATGCAAACATTTAGAATTTTTCGAGCAAATGTATTAAAGTTCATTATACTTCCATGAGTTTTTCAATGAATACTTATAAGCATTCTCAACAGTCAAAACAATTATTAATCAAAGTCAATTATATTCATTAAATGCTTGATTTTAACAAAAATTCTTGTTGAAGAACAGTAATATAATAAGCAAGTGTTTCATTTCCTTTCTACGTATGCATAAAAGTACGTATAGAACTTTAGAAGTTTGTTTATCGTTATGAGAGATAATACAGATGACTTTCTTATAAATACGATTGAATCCAGAAGTGTTATCAAACGTGTAAATTATTCAGCGTTGTCATAGAAACCGAATATACTACAATAATAACAAATATGTAAATTGATGAAATAACATCTAAAGTTAAACATTGAGAAGTAAAATGTAACTTGTAAAAGCATGAAAACTAGTGTTTGATGTTAAAAAAAACTAAAGCAAAAAGCGGTATTTAAAAAAGGAATTTTTAAGAATGTAGATTAAGTGTACCGTAAGAATAGAGATTGGATAAGATAATTTAGTCTAGAATTCTTTATTTAAAAAGAACTCCTGAATACATAAGTTCAAACAATAAATTTTTCGAACTAACGACTATTGAGTTAACAGGATTACTATTTAGAAATACAGTCACATACAAATTCAAGAGTTTACACTGTTATTTTATTAGTGATACATTGACTTTGGAAAATAACTTCCTTTATATTATTTGTTAGAAGAAATATCTTACTTTACATGACTGAATAAAAATCACGCAATAAATGAAAGTGGAAATTTTTTAAGATGACCTATAAGTGAATATTTATTATTTTGTATTAGCATAGAAGTGTTTTTAGTTGTTGACAGCCATTAAGAATCAAGTCTAACAGCTGTTTCTTTTTTTCCTCTAATGTATTCGATAGAAGGCAGTTTTTGTTTTAATTATTTTTCTACTATTTTTTCACTATAGTTGATTTTTATGTTTATTTATTATAGATTAGTTCACAAAATCATTTATCTTTAATAAGTTCGACTAATTGGCAAATATTTTGTTGTATTAGCGAAGCGGCATTTACGTCAAATATCACAGATTCATCATCAACTGGTCTGCAGATTTGCTTGGCTCAACCAGGTAGTTTTGTTTCAGTAATATGGTATATTAATGTTCTTAAATATTTTTGAGGTTTAGTTAATTGAGTGATTAAGAACTGGGAATAATTCTCAAAACAAAACAGATTTTAGAGCCGTTTTATGCTAAATCAAAGTGGTCGTAAATCACTTTTTCGGTTCAAGCTGCTCCACGAATGACAAGTAATTATGACGAATACTTTCAGGTGTTTGCAAATATATACGAGACTCATAAACATGAAAATACAACGGCAGAGTTCTTAATTTTGTAAGGTTAAGAATTAGTTGAAAATAATTATGTATTCACGCCCACTAAAAAGACGACTATCTCGGAAACAAATGAATGTATGGTTCTTTAAAAAGTATCACACAGAAGCTGTGTTACCTGTAGCTAATAAACCAGTTTACTTAATAATATTTTCACGTTATAAGAAACGATGATGTCATCAGTAGTTTAAAGACAAGTGTCGATCGTATGTACTGAGAATTGATCTTACCTAACCATAACTATTCACCACATATTAAATATTCGACGGAAAAGTCATTCGCTACTAAATCATACTTTCTTACTTAGTAAGTGATAGCAAATAGCGAATGTAAATAGAGGTAAATTTTCATATTTTAGATGGGCACTGTGATAGGTCATAAGTATATTCGTTTAGTAACATAATAAAGTGACACAGAACTCCATTGCTTTTAAAAGCCAGTTGTCTCTAACCGTTAAAGCATACATTTATAAGTTTTATTATTATGAAAACTTACACACCTACTTACATACGCCTGCTACCCCTCGTCGAGAAGCATAGGCCGCCTACCGGCATTCTCCATCCAACTCTGTCCTGAGTAATTCTTTCCAGTTCTTTCCAGTTGCTATCCATCCTTTTCATATCTGTTTCCAGTTCCCAACGCAGTATGTTCTTTGGCCTTCTTTTTTCCCGTTTCCTTTCACGATTCCAAGTTATCGCTTGCTTCGTAATGCAGTTTTTTGATTTCCTCAATTTATGTCCTATCTAATTTCAGCGTCTTTTCCTAATTTACTCTTTAGTCGAAAAATGGTTTGTTCTCTCCCACAGAAGGCTGTTGCCGATGGTATCAGACAAGTGAACATTCATTATCTTATTGTTTATAATGGTTTATAATGATTGTAGTAGTTCTCGAAGTTTCAGCTCCGTACAGCAGAACTGTCTCGATGTTCGTTTTCAAGATTGTGAGTTCGATGTCGACTGATAGTTGTTCTGAGTTCAATATGTTCTTCAACTATAGGAATACTGTCCATACCTTGCCAATCCTTTCCTTTACGTTTGCATCAATCCTCCTTGTTCATCGATGATGCTGTCTAGATGAGTGTAATTCTTCACCTGTTCCAGAGCTTCTCCATCCAGTGTGATTGATTCGGTGCTTTCAGTATTGTATTTGAGGTTCTTGGTTTTTCCCTGTGTTTGTTGAGGCCTATTGCTTCACTGGTTGTCTTGACCTGCATTTGCTGATGTATATGGGATAGAAGAGACAGGTCATCTGCGAAGTCTAAATCTTCTAGTTGATTCCGAGCTGTCTCTCGTATTCCATGGTTCCTTTCAAATGTCGAGGTCTTCATAATCCAGTTGACTAGCAGAAGTAAGAGAAAGGGAGAGATACAGCAGGCAGCCTTATTTGACACCGCTCCTTACTTGGAATGAGTTTGTCAGCTGTCCGCCATACTTGACTTTGCAGTGTACTTCCTCGTATGAATTCCATATGATGTTGATGATTTTCTCAGGCACACCATAGTGTCGAAGACGTTTCCATGATGTACTCCTGTCCACACTGTCAAATGCTTTCTCATAATCAAGAATGTTGATGCATATTTACGAGTTCCATTCAATTGACTGTTTAACGAAGATCTGTAGTGTGGCGATTTCGTCTGTGCACGATCGATCTTCACGAAATCCAGCCCGTTGACCTTGAAGTTCGGCGTCTATTGAATCTTTCGTCTGGTTCAGTAACACTGTTGAAAAAGTTTCCTGGCACCGATAGTAGCGTGATTCCTCTGTAGTTCTCACAATTGTAGAAATCTTTCTTTGGTATCTTGATGAGATATCCTTCTTTCCAGTCTGTCAGTACTTGTTCTTATTCACGAATCTTCCTGAATAAAGCGTGCAGTATCTTTGAAATCATTTCCATGTCTGATTTCACTGTTTCGGGTGGTACAATGTCAGTTCCTTCTGTTTTCCCACTCTACATTTGTCTGATGACTAACCTTATTTCTTCGATCGTTGATGGAATGACATATATAGAACGGTCTGTGTGCGCTGCTTTGATGTCCAGTGGATTCGTTGGAGCTAATCTACTCAAGAATTCCTCGAAGTGTTCTGCTTATCTGTTCCTCTGTTCATGAATCTCAGTGATTGGTTTACCTTATTTGTCTTTGGATGGTCCCTCTGGTTCACAATGTTTCCCTTTTAGTTTTTTTGTTGTATCGCATAGTTGTGATGCAAATATGACAATTCGTTCCTCTATAGTGCGATCCAATGAGGTTTATGTAGCTTTGTGTATTCGTTTGTTTGGGAATATTGTGTCGCTTATAAACATTTTCTTGAATGCACATAAATTCTGGAATCTATAACAATTCTCGTCCCTCTCTCCTGGTCCATGTCGTCCCATGATATCTTCATATTCGGTGTTGTCCATTCCAACTTATATGTTTAGATCTTCCATCAGGACGGTCAGATCTTTTACTTGGTACTTCACTATAGTCGAGTGCAGCCTTTCGTAGGACTGATCTTTATCGTTGACATTGCTATTATTAGTGTGTGCATAACATTGGATAATATTCCTTGTAATTCCCTCCTTCTTTGTTTTGAATGATGCTTTGATGATCCTGGATCTACAAGATTCCCACACAATAAGTGCATTTCGTGCTTCTTTGGACAGTATCAGAGCAACTCCCTGAGTGTGCGGAGCATTCTCCTCTTCGTGACAGGAGTACATCAGCATCTCTCCTGTACCTAACCTTTCCTGTCCAGCTTGGGTTCAATGGGTTTCACTTATTCTGAACATCGCCAGGTTTTGTCTCCTCGTTTCCGTAGCTATTTGATTGGTCCTTCCGGTATTTCACATTGTCCAAACATTTCACGTATTTTATTAGTTTTTGCTCTGTTGTTAGAAGGGGCATCAGCCACGTGACTTCCAGAGAACCTCCACTTTAACCAAGAGTTGTCATAATTCTTCTGAATGATGATCCTTCAACTCTGAGGGCAGAGATTAAATGGTTTAATCTTCTTATTCCGCTTAGCGCTTTTTGGCAAGGTTGTTTTCTACGGGATGGAGTTGCTGGCCACATGCTCAAAACTACTTGTTTATCCGAGCCTGCGACCTACATTAATCCTAGGAGAGCTACAGACGAAGTTATTATAATAACAAAGTGGATGTTTAATACGACTTGGTGTTCAATGAAAAAATATATAAATCTCATTTATTTAGATTTTTCCCTAGTCACTATGAAGAACGTTTAGGGAATATTTCTAGCGTGCGTTTATTCAGAAGCAACCTTGCGTTAAAAATATATACTAATAAGTTCTTATTAGGTTCAGCCGCCATGAAAATTTATATCTGAACGGATATTCCATAATACCCGATATCTTTTATATCATAAATTGGCACTAACTAGACAGATATTGAGAAACTGGAAAAGGACTAATAGGTCGTTTGTTTAGGATTCCAGACTCCTAAGAAGTACACTTCCACGACTCAGTATTACATAGAACCATTGACTTTTGTTTCATAAAAGCCTTTCAAACATCGAGTTAAAGTGTAAAAACATTTTCTTCACAAAACTCGTAATAACAAATATTCAACCTACTAGAGAAATAATTATACATGTGTATTATTCATTCCTACCCCAATGTTCTAGTCCATCAAATGTAAAACTAAACTATATGAGTTACACGAAATGGTTAAATGTTGCCTAACTTCATTCATCTCTTTCTACTCTTTTCTCCCTTTCCCTTCCATTAAAATTATTCCCTATGATGAATATAGTAAACCAATATCATAGAGATGGTGGATTTGATTGTTTATTACCCAGAGGAAAAAAGACTTTTGTTGTTACATACTAACCTAAAACATGCAAAAAATATCAATAATTCCTGACTAAATGACTGAAATATACACATCAATCAATAAAGAATAACTAATTTTACGTCGTTAATTCAACACTGCCAATTTCAATGTATATTTATCCCATTTTTAGTGTGATTATATTCATTGTAATTAATGCTGTGGTGTTTATATTGCTGCTAGATCAGATCACATTTAATCAAAACAAGATTGACTTCATTGATTTGTAACCCTTACCATATTTTACCTTCATAAATAACTAAAAAACATCTATGTAATTAAAGTTGATAATCCTATGAAAACTAATTCTTTTGACTACTTGATGTTGACGATAGAATCAAATGTCTTCCAGATATAGTAATAGCTAGGTTGAATTATCCTTGAAAGTAACTTCGTTAGCAACTATATTTGAAGTAGACAGTTGGTAAAATTTCCGTAATAAGTTGGCAAGAACTTCATAACAATGTTTCAATTTTTAAGTAAATAGAAATAGCACTTCTCTCATATCGATACAAAATATTAGCACTAGGTTCCTTTTAAGTGGCTTATTCAGTATTTAATTTTTGAATTAGTCGGTTAAAATTTAATCAATGAAGTGTAATTATATACTAGTGGATAGTTTATCGTACTAAGATGTTATACACCACAGTTGACTTCTTCCCAGAAAACCTATCTAAAACATTTTGTTGCAATGTTTTTGATTTTATTTCTGAAATGCTACTTTTGGAAATTCAAGAATCGTTTGATGTATTGAGTGTATTACGTTGTACACTTACTGAACACTTCTATAACGTACTAGAGTTTAATCATATGCAAGAAACATAAATTGTTGAATGAAGTATCTTGTTCCAGTTTTAAATATGTTTGACGCTAACACTTTTTGCTTGTACCAGTAACTGTGATCACAGTTTTACCACATTTGGAAAATTAGCGATTAATGAACACTAAAAGGTGACCTTACTTTTTAATATTATTGTCAAAAAATATATATTAATGATTCAACTTGCAGATAAGATTTATTTAAAGCTAGGGACAAGCGAACACTTAATTTATAGACCCATTTTTTATTAGCTACCATCCATTCCTTAGTTTTAACTATCATCCAATATCTGAAGGGATGATAGTGTTAAGTTCATCTCTGAAGATTTAAGATGCGATAAAACACTTGTTCATCTAAGCTCAGTGGATGTATTTAGAAAGTTGGTCAATTGTTGTTCCTTCAGGTTATTCATGACAGATTGGATTTGACTGGTTGCATTCTTCCATAAAAATGATTATTTTTTGAGCATGTACTTTTTCATACACTACGGTTTATGATCAGGTATAACCTTTGGTTTACCAGATTATTGCACAATCTTTCAAATTATGTTTGATTTCAAATTAATGCGTTATATCAGATGATTCACTCACAGTTTATTAGTAAAAGATGAACCATATATAATAAAGCTCTCTTATTTTGCATTAAAAATTGACATGTACAGGATAACCCAGGTTAGAAAACTCTACATTTCATGTACGAAGCGATTAAAACCAACTAATTTCAATATAATTGGTATTTCATCAAGATTATAATATTCATTATTATAAGTACAAAGATATGGTTTTAGTTTATGGAAAGGGGAATGATAATTTTTTACTCACTACGTTTTATATTTTTCACTAAAACCATTATCTACTACATACAGATTTTGATTCGGTACTAATTTCTTGCAATTTTTATTCTTAATGCCAAGTAAATATTATTTTTAACTTGTCAAAGGGTTTTAGACATCGATTTTGATTCAGGGAAACTATTATCGATCTGAATTCAATGTTTCTTGGTATGTTTATCTCGCCTGTCATTTAGGGATTAATTCGTATGTCTATATACAGCTTATTCATTCTTGAAATATAAATTCTATCCCCTATTGTTTAAATTCACATGAATACACATAATAACGATGCAATTAAAGTAAAACTAATTGAAATACTAAATTCAATACTCAACTCATATATAAAGTCGCACCTTCGCAGACATAGATGAACAGATAAAAATCGATCAGTTCGATTAATAGAATTGATTATCGATGAGTATATTTTAGTCAACTAATTATTTATTTATTAGAGGGGTTTGTATAGGGTTCTATAATAATTTACTAGTTTTTCTGACCTCAAGTCTTTGTTACTTGATAATAATGAAATACAATGGCTAAGAAAGATGGGAATTTATTTTATTTTAATGAATATGTTTATATAATTTTCAAATCGTAAGAAAGAAAACGAAATAGAGTAAAACGGATAAATTTATTTGATAAACACTATTGGGTCTTCATATTGCTGTTGCTATTAAACATTACTAAAATGTAACGGTCTTTAGGGCTCTGAAAAGTATGAGGATTTACTTTATCGGGTATAATATTGTTTCATGGGGTTTTCCAACATACAAACAACTGTTCTGGGAAACGTCCTGTATCTTAATGAAAGTTGATAGATATTTAATTCCGTGCAGTTATTAAGAGATCCCCAAGGAAATTAATAAGAGGCAATTCGCTCAACTTTTACTGATTAAATATACTGAGTTAGAATAAAGTATAAAAAACGATCGTAATAAAATAACACATGTAAATTAACTTTGTTGCCCGGATGTTTCTGTACCAACGGAAAATAAAGTACGTCTATCCGATTTTCCCGACGAAATAAAACAAAAGGGCACAGTGTTTTATATTTGAGCACTTCATTGTGAAGAAGAGAATATAAATTGAGAAGCTTTAACATCTGCTAATGAGGAAATTTATTTATTAATGTAAGTTTCAAGTTGCTGAAATGTGCATATGAGCACATGGACGTCATGGCTGAATAAGTAGATTAGAAAACTAAATTAGTTAATGAAGAATGAACAATTCAAAGTAGTCACCAATTATTCTTGCCTAAAGGAAAGATGAATCCACTCAATAGCATATAACTAACTGTGATTCTGATTTATTTTCACTCTTTGAAATACTGAGTGAAAGACTCTTTTGCGTCCTAAGTGTTGAGAAAGATTGTTAAAATATTCTGTTAGTTCACAAGTAATTGCCAATGGAGCTGTCTGTATTGTGTTGCGCTTATTGAACATCTAAATTTATTAACCTGAAATACTACATGGGGAAGATGGGCTTTGGATTATCAGCAAAACTTTATGACTCATGTAAACGTTCAATGCCATAAACAAATATACTTCTATTCGTTATGCTTTTATAATCTTCTGAAAAAAAGATTTAACAGTAGTGAGGTGAACCATTCTGTTTACAAGGAAATAACGGATATACAACTAAACGAGCATAAAACTGCTGTTTAATTTTATATGCTACTTATGTGATTATTGTCACGTTGCAGAAAACACTTTGAGTATTTATGATAAAAAGTTGCCTTAAGTGTTCTTACGATGAGAAATTAGACGAAAATTCGTGTAATTTCTGTCAAATAAAATATACTATCTACTCTTCAAAACAAGGTCAGTGTAATGCTTCTGTGTGTGAACACAGGATGGTTTGCTAGCTTGGATTATATTTGCCTTTAGTTGCATTGATAATACAACAATAAATTACGCAACTTAAATAGCTTTGTATACCTATGAACAAAGTTAGAAGTCTCAGAAATGTTTTCAATATTGTCGGTTTTAAATTTTATTTACTTAGAGTTAGAGAAAACTTTTCTTACTGACATCTAAATACCAAATAACCATATTGTTTATATCCGTGTTTCCAACTTGCTGATTCTTATGTTTTTAAAGACTAAGTCCGGAAAATAGATCTCATATGTAATTATTTTGGTTTTTTTTGGTTTCCAAAACCGTCAAAACGTATAAGGTCAACGTTTCAGTATACTTTCACTTACTGTGGATGTAAATAACTTTAAAAGTCATATAAATTCCCCAGCGAATCCTCGAGAAATCCATTCCTTTTGGAGTAACATTAAAACCCTTGGCTGTAAAATAATCTTACTACAGGTCAGCTTATCTCTGCCTTATTTCATGTCAAGAATTATTTGTATGATTTATTGAAGTTATTCATTTATTGAAATTCTAACATGTAACATTTATTAATACTTTTCTGTTATAACTTTACCTACTTACCACGAATTAAGTACTATAAACAGTAATTTCCATTACAAATCAGGTTAGGTGTTAGATAGTCAGGTTCGGTTAGTTTTGGATATGAAAAAAATAGTCATAGTCGAAGATAGATTTAATATAATCAGACAAATCCATGAAAACTCTCCGAGCAGTTAAATTGTTGAATGAAACAAGAAAGTATTTGTTTGGATTATCTATTTATACACTTTGACACAGTGCTTGGGAAAACGTGTGTTAGACGCTTATGGTAACTTAATCGTTCCACATGTCATACTATTAACATTCCTATGATAGAAAATGCTCTTGTGCGTTATCGAACGTGCATTAGCTGTTTGCAGTACTTTCATGTATAAGCAAGCTTACTTAATTATATCTGTAACTTGTAATTTTGATATTAAACGTTCTTATGTTGATTATGCAGAATTGGATGAAGATACTCATCTAACTGAATCAATACAAGCTGATCAAAACGAATCACATACTTCCGAAGTTACCCAAAAGCCTATATTTCCTGATAACAGTTCAAATGTTTCACAATCAACTTCATCCGTTGAACTGAAAAGCATATCTGAAATGTTATCAAATGACGAAAACATAACCACTACCTCTGAACTCCAATCGGAATCAGTTGGTCCACAAAGAGGCCGTACTGTTACAAGATGCAATGTTGTCCAAAGCAGAACAAAGCGCGTGAGTTTTATGGACATATGTTATGTTAATTATAATTACTGAAAGTATTACTTGTAATATTTTCGAATAACATGTCATTATGAAGTAGCGTTTTCTGAATTGACCAGGTCACTCATTTATTCTACTTACTTTTAAACGGTTCACTGACTTTTGTTAACTATAAAAAGTAAACACTGTTAATGAATGAATAGTTAAAATGATTTTTATGGTTAAAATTTAAAATCATTTTTATCTGTTTACTATGTTTATTTTGAATAGTTGGGAGGATAGAATAAAATTTGTTATGATGTTTATCACAATAGAATTGATCACATAAAGTTTATCTTACTTAACTGCCGGATTGCTTTCATTATGTTTAAGAGTATTGAATAGATAAGCTTAATAAATTGATTATGCTGAAAATTCCTTCTTCAAGTATTTTATTGATTTGTATTACAATCATTCTTCATAACAAATAAAACTGAACGAATGGAGTATAAAAATATTTGAGGTGATATTTTGAATGATTTACTCAAGTATAAAAAACTTTTGTTTGTTTTGCTAAAATATCTATATGACTAAAAATAATACACTATGAAACGTGAGACGACAGTGTTAGATTTTTTGTCGTTCAAAATAGATTTATAGCTGTTTGAATTATATATAACGTTATGCTGAAGTTAAAAAAAATAATTCTTTAAAAATTGAATTAAACTAAGTTCTGAAATGTTGATGGGAATAACTGATGACCTCCCTATGTAAGTCAGTTCAGGTCATTTCCAAATATATTTGAATAAATAAATAAGAAAAAAGTAATCGATAGTCATGCGTTTAGTGTAACAGATTTTTCACAAATCATCTATGACAATAGCAGTCTTTTTATCTGACTTCATCTAATGATTAGAACGACTCATTTTTATTAACCATTTGTTCGATAAGGATAATGTGTACTTAACACTTCAGATCAGTTAATGAATTGTGAACTGACTTCTCGTTTTACCTCCCTGAATCCGTTTCCATCATACTCTTATACCTTAATAGTATTGCATTTTAAAATAGGTAATAGTTAGATACTATTAATGTTTACAATACCTACATCGGTCAGTTAAGATTTGAAAAACCATTCACTACTCTATTTCTTGAAACTAGAGCTCCTTTCTTAGCCTCTGATTACCCACCTTTTTATCTTCAGTAATTCCAAACGATTTCCTTTTCAATCGACCCATTACCATTCGCTTTAAAAGCCATCACGTTATCCACCTAGTTATTGAGTGAACAAAATGCGGAATAGAACTGGATGAAAGTGATTTGATTTAAATCTGATCTTCTCGGACGCAGTCGAAGGTTAAGTTTATGAACAGGGATTCCGACTGCTTCAGCAAGATACAACAGATGAACTTGTAAACCATATGATAAATTTGATGGAATATGGTTCTCTATTTGTTTCTTTTAGTAAATGTCAAAATATGAATTTTCTATAGTAAAAGTGATTAGTAATCAACAGTGGTTAGCGATCTGGCAAGTTATTACGCGTTTTGTTCTAATACTTTTTGAGCCAACCACTGCACTAATTATAGAGCTGACTAGAAACAGCTAGAATGCAAGATATTTTGACATGATATAGGCATTTTCAATCTGTTGTGACTCCCTAAGCTAAATCACAGAATTTTAGTTTTTAAACAAAATTTATTATGTGTATTTATGAATCAAATTATTTCATCATGGTTGGTATTTTTTTAATTTCTGTTTTCATTACTTATTATAATAATAAATAGATAAATATCTGAAACCTTTCAAAACATTTCGATCGCGAAGGTGAAAAAGTCAGTTGTCAACAAAATAGAAGTTAATACTTTATATCTTTATCTTGTATTTTATTCTTCACGATCTTAATAATGATAAGCAGGAATGTTATTAAGTCTTAAAATTGTAACAAATACCGAATAAACACATTGTGAGTATTATGTAATTTTTTTTCGCGATCTAAATTGTCTTCTACTAACCTGAGGTCCCTTTTTATTAATTCATTTAAAAATAGACCAATAATAGTAATAACCAGTAAGTGTAGGATACAATTCGAAAACCTATCTAATCAAACTCATGATCTTGTGCCTACATCCCCAGAAAATCTCTTATTATCCTGCCTTAAATTAGTATTATTTACGTAACAATTGTTTATACCAATACACAGACTAAATTAAACGTCATTCATTTACTAACAAATTCTTATTAGTTTCGTCAATTACAAATGATAACATGCAAAATGCATTAAGTATTTATTTTAATGTAATTAAAAGACCTTTTTTTATTAACATACGTTCATTCATACATAGTTACGAACTACTTTTCTTTCATTTTCTTTTGTTTCAACATTCTACGTTGATTAATGTTTTATGAATAATAATAAATTCATTAAAATACTATAGACAGTTTATTGAACTAATTCTAAGCATTTTACTAAAATATTTTAAGGTTCATCTAAAAAAAAAGAGCATATAAGCTACATTTACAAGATTTAATGCTTATTTAATATAGGTGAGTATGATTAATGTGAAGATCTATGAAATTTAGTGAATTAACTAATTGAATCATGTAATTAATGTAAAATCAGTGTTGTATTGTTTAATGAAAAGATTCATACGTGTTATATTTCTGTTAAGAGTAATAATAGAGTATAATAAATGCTATTAATCATTACATTATAATGACGAGTAATTTTAAAAGGAACAAATTGATCACTAATATGCTTTATTTTATTATTTCAGTCCTAAATTAATTACTTTGCATAAATGTACAGTTCACTATTTACATTGATGAATACATTTAACAATTATTTTCATTTAAAAATTATGATATAATCTGAAAAATTTGAATAAGCCAGAATAAAATTCATCCAATTTGTTATAGAATGCAATTTACTTTATTGGTCTCAAACTGATAAAGTTAGTAATATTTATTCATGATCAAAAATTTATGTTTTACTAAAGTTTATGATATCGACAACGTTCAAAGTTACTTTATTTGAATATCGTTATCACTTGGTTCTTCATGGATTCCAGTAATTTGATATAAATTTATGAACTCAACCATGAACGATATATATTTTTCTAAAGGCTTCCTAATTCATGGTTGGTTCGAATTTGTAGTTATATGATTGAATTAAAGATCATTATTCACTTAACTATCAGATCCGTTTATTCTCTATTGATTTTGGAGATTTTTCTACAGCTAGATTTTCCCTTCGCAACCATAATCTTTTTATAGGTCAGAGGAATATTCCAATAAGTGCTTCTTATGTATCTATCCTGTACCCATTGTATCTAATCCAAATTATGATATCTTGATAACTGTTTTTACTGCTTCAAATACAATTCTGATACTATTAAAAAACTGAACTGCGTTAATGGCTTACAAACTTCCGAAAAATACTTAATATTCTTCTCCTTCCATAACTAGAGGACAGTTTAGCGATATACAAATAAACAGTAATTTGGAGGTAATTTAAATGAATTGGATTCCTCTAAATCAATGAATGCTTTTAGTAACTTCTTAAGTGTACGGTTATTGTGATCAAACAGACAACTTCCGCCTAGATGATAAGTAGTTGTTTATCCTTTTTATCAGCGTAGTTTCCTTTGTGGCATATTCCGAAAGTTGGAATCGAGATTTAACTATAAATATACAACAGTGTCCCAACGAATAACTATTTGTTTAAAAGTTGTTTTGTTAATGTTCGAATAACCTTTCTCTTAAATTGCTGCTTTTAACCACTTCATATATGAACAACAATTACTAAGTATGCTTAGTCAACTACTTATTGAGTCATTTTTCCCTTCATTTTCCTATAAAATCCAGAGTGTGTTTTAATGATGGGACAAAGGGCGTATTAAAATTCAACACCATATCACTTTTACGGTCACCTTGAACAGCATTATTTGTGTTAGCACAGTTAAAAGGGTTTTGTTTTTAGACTTAACGCTGAGCTATTTCTAGGTTGAGGTATACTCGAATATCAGCCCATTAGAAAAATCTTATATAAATCTTAAATAAACCGTATACTTTGGCGAAAGGCTATCCTTCGTATATTAAATTGATTGATTAATTAGTTGTCAGCTTTTTCATGTTCAGTGCTGGCCGGATTCTATCGATGGTGGTTACTACTCTTAATAACTTGACATCTCGTCCGCCATAGTGAGATGCTATGCAAATAGAAGTGGTGGACTAGAAACCGTGAACCTATTATAAAGGCGTATCTATAATTTTGATGAAACCTGTGTTTCCTTTGGGATTCAAACTCGCATCAAGAAGCTGAAAAGTCTCTTATATTGCTAGTGAGTTATTCAGACAGCAATTGACCTCCTGTAGAATAGAAATATTTTCATCCAACTGATAACTGAGTAGGTTAAATGAATCCTTAAACAAAAATTTCATTAGTAATCGAATTTTTCTAAACTTATGAATTAAATAGCACTCTATGTATCAATACGATCATTTATCACTGGGTTCATGCATAAATATATGCTGTGTTGTTCATCGTTTAACAAATTATCGATTGTCTAGTTTTTATTTAATTACAAGTACGTTAAAAATGTATAAATACATACAGAAGTTGTTTTATTACAGATCAGTTTTTCACAACGTTTGTAGTAATTGTCCTAGACAGTAAGTTAAGCATTTAAAAGTTGAATACATATAATCTTTTTAAATCAGTTGCTATCACTATTTGATAAAAGTTTCATATGAACTAAAATAGTCTCTAAAATGTCAGTGTGAAAATAAAATTACGTGGCTGGAACATACGCAACTGTTAATGAGTTTTATTTAAAAAGCTTGATCTTTAAACATTTCCTGTGAATTTTTGCTTTCTAAGACGAGGTGATCAAAAAATATCTGTAAGAATTCAAGTGGAAATCTGCTAATCAAAAGCTAACAGTTGTTGTGAAGTAATTTACCCTAGAATCTTATTTCACCCAAGTCGTCTGATTTGAAATTGAAATTCCGTGAATTCATGAGTTTGAATTAATAGTGTACTGGAAAAGTTCTTTATTGATATATCTTTCCAGTTAAAGTGATATTTTTCTTTAAACAACTGCAGATATTTATTTACTCAGTTTATATAACAGTTATTATTTGTATTAATTGTTTTTCGCATTCTGAATTAACGGTAATTATAAATCGTTCATACAGTTTGTATTGATACATTTTCTGTAGGATCTTAGCAGATTTTACTGAATAATTTGCTTTCTGTCTTATATTATTGCGTTTCCCATACTAAACTTGTACTTTATGTATCTAATGTAAATTGAGAGGTAAAATAACACATTTTCACGTAATATTTTCAATTATATTTACAATTGAAGCAAGTATCTGGTTTGTAGGGACTTTATGCACTTTTTATCGTCATTTAGTCTGCAGTTCACTCAGGAAGACAGTCAGCAGCGAGCTTGAAAAACTCTCCTAAACTTCTGGCTATCAACAGAAACCTGGAACCCGCAATTACTCCCAGTGACACAAGTTCTCCAGATGATGGGACCGGATTTCAAAACCCCAATCCCCCAGTTTGTCTAGTTTCTCGGCATTCCCCAAGTTGCCGTAGCAGAATTCGTATGCGTGATGAACAAATTATTGCTAGGTTAAGGACAATTGTTAGTCGAGGTAAACCTTCAGAAAAATATGAAACCCTTGGACGTATTGGTCATGGGTACGTTAATCAGTAGAATTCTATTTTTTTATTTTCAGAAATATTGTCTTGAGATTACATCACTTGAACAGTGAGAATTCACTCAAGTAATCGTAATAAAAACTAACACCATGTATGCTGCTGTGTGGCTGTGGGTCCAGTTTTTAGTTGGAAATTTTCTTGTATGCTCAAAACTCCTCATGTAATATTTGTATCTATTTCAGCACTATTAACTGAGTCCTTTTAAGATTTTCGTAGACATCATAGAATGAAATACGCTTACTCTAAGACGTTGTGAAAATAGCTTTTTATCCATGAATTCAGATATCCTGTCAATACTATGGACAATAAGTAATATCTAAAAATGAACTAACACGTTGGTACTTCTATTATTTTAATAATAAAGTGTCATTTTCTGGGTTCACACATTGACTTTCTATTCAATGACTAAACAAATTGAAATACAGTACAGGTTTGCGAAATTTTAATTATGAAAACTGTCATATTAGGTATAGGATTTTTTAAGGAAGTCACTGGAAAACTATCTATCCAGAAATCATACTACAAATAAAATCCATTTTAAATATCAAGAACATTTCCGGAATGCTTAGCCATCAAACCAATGTGAAGTTTTGGTTCATCTGCTCGACAAAAAGTCATGTGATTCTGAGTATATTATTGTTATATCTAGAACTTGAATTTTCTGTATACCGCGTAAAACTTGAGCATTCGAACACATGATCCCTTCAATTCGCAAGTTAGAATACAGAAAACGATTGGAAAGGAATCGTATACCAACTAGTGTCAAATACGGTACAAAACACTCGGGTACTTATAGTTTTTAGTAAAAAGGAATTCATCATTACGACTATTCAATCTGCATGCAATGGTTTTTAGCATATGTTCAATCGGGAAGCTACATGTTGGGGTTTCGGAATGTTCCTCCAAACGATGATTGAATGGGACATCTTTAAATCTTTCAGAGCTTCCTTGAGTTCACCGGGATCCGTTCCCACATTTAGTATCACAAATATTGTTGTAGACCAAAGTAATGAAAATCATAATGGGAGATTAATACATGAGGTGTTTTTATCATTCTTTTAGCTTTTATTCTCATTTCATACTGATTGACACTTGTCACACTAATTGTATTGTACATTTAAGTCTTATTAATATATGTGGTGTGAGATTCACTAAGATATGCTGTGTGATTCTTCGATAGTTCTTGATTTATCTCATTCCATCCTGCGAAAACAATACTTAAAGAAATTTGACGAAAACACTGTTTTCGGTTTATTATTTCTTACATACAACTACCTGACATGGTTAACCATGTTCTGCTTTCGAGTCAGAAGATTTAGATGACAAGATCGAATGATTTATTGAACTTACCTCAAGTAGTGGATAGCTTATAAACTATCATGGGAATACAACTATATTTTTAAGACCTCACATGAATTGAGTATCCTGAAATCGTCCTTAATTACGGTCGATTGTTGAAAATAAAATCCAATTATCTGCTTACAATTCGACTTTTTTTCTTCAAAATAAAATAGATTTTAATTTATAAAAGAAGAACACACCTAATTATGTAAATGACACTGAGGACTAAAAATAAGTTAATTATGTTTCCTTCTGTTTAAACTTTAAGATCATCTTTTTATCCCCTTTACGTTGTTGTACTTTCATTATCACAATTCATACTTATTGATAATGTTTAGAGCTTCGGGTGTTGTTTATATCGGTCGAGAACTTCAGTCTGGGTGTCGTGTAGCTATTAAACAGATGAGTCTACGACAACAACCTAGAAAAGAATTAATCCTCAACGAAATTTTGGTTATGAGAACATATCGAAATCCAAATGTAGTCAATTACTTAGATAGTTATTTAGTAAGTTCTCCTGTACCATCATCTATTGTTTATTTCACTTACTAGTCACCCCATTGTTACTGTATCTTGCCTAGTTCAAATTACTTCTGACGGTGTAAAATACTTGACTGAATATTCAATCTGATTGATAATAACATTTTTGTTACTATCACTTTATATTAATTATGTTGTCTATAAATTTTGATTCCGTTATTTCATTTAACCTACATACTAATTTAAACGTACATCATGTGCAAATATTTTCAACATTCGCAAACGCTAACATCAAACACAAACTGCTGAAAACTTCACCGAATATACAAAGAACCAAAATAGTACGAGTAAAACAGCAAACTTTGCTTAATACCAAAGTAAATCAAGCTATTAATGTTATTTACCGTAACTAAGAATATAAAAAATGTTACTTATATGTCATTAGTAAGTTATAATTTTTAGTAAACTGAATGGTTAACCAACTAATCACGTGGTGTTAAAACATTGATGATGTAAATGTATCATATTTTTTAATATTTTCACTTTATTCAGTATCGAAACATACTTAATCAATTTATCACACGAATTCCGTGTATTCTATGTTTTCATTAAGAGTTTCCGTGATGCATATTAAATGTATTGGAAACAGCAACTACAGTATATCAAGATGGAAAGAATTTATTAATTACTTGTTCTGGCTGAATTGTAGTGTTATATTTTATGAAGTCATTGATTTAAGTGCTCATAGAGATTGGCGTTGCACTAAAAATTGTCTCGGTATCACAATGAGATTGATAACAATTTGATGATTGTCATATACGCAGGTAGATGCATCAACATTCTATTAATTATCCGGCTAATCTTGTCATATCTTGATAATATCTAGGTAAAGAATAATTCGTCCGCGTTAGATAAATTCCTGAAAATTTTATTTATTCTGTTATGACTTATGTCTGGCTTTTACCACCTGACTTATCCACTAATCAAAATACGACTTATACAATCTTCGCACTGTGCCAAAACCAATGACGTTCGACCGGTATGAGCAGCCTAGCGTCTTATTTGGTCCTTTGTCTGCCTAGCTCGTTCACTTGAGTCTAAACATACTGTGTTTATATATCAAACAAACAGACCGCATCGCACCACAAAAAATAGGAAATAATATTTGTCCACAATAAAGCTAAAAAGTGGCTGTGAACGTGGGAGGCAGTAGTTAATAAACTGAGCATAATTTAGGGACAGTAAATCGTATATTAATAAATTATAGGTCAAAATGAAGCTTATGATAAGAGGAAAATAAATATACATAATCTAATTATTGAATAATTATACAATAAGAATATTTGCAGAATATTAGTCCATTAATAGTCCTCGGAAGTTACCCGTATTTTAATCTTCACTGGGATATAACATATTCAACAAAATTAAAGTTTACAATTTACTCTTAACTTAATACCTAGCTAGGAGATGAATTGTGGGTCGTAATGGAATATTTAGATGGTGGTTCATTAACTGATGTCATTACAGAAACATGTATGAGTGAATCACATATTGCTACAGTTTGTCGTGAAGTAAGTCCACTATAAATTTGTACTTTCACATTTATTTATCTCTTAATGCTAAAAATTAATGTCACTTGTCAATATTTCAAATAACTACTGTGTTTCCACTTGTTGTATCGCGATTCATTAACTGTCAAGTCCAAGTATAAAAATCAAACTAAAACAAATTTGGACAGCTGTTTTTGGTTAGCTTTAAGAATTGGTAACCTAATACAGTCAATATCTTATAAATTACAGTCAGCTCACAGTGGAGATACGTTGTGTAAATAATAAATTTCAGATATATGAACTGAGAGCTCTTCATTGAGAATTCCCCGTCTAGAAGAAACATGGATGACGTTTTAATAATATACAGTAAGCATTTTGATCTACCTTAATTCTTAGATGGAATTAATGATATGCAAAATAATTTCATACTAACTTATGAGAAAAAAAAGTATGTTTCTGAGTTAAATTGATGTTAACTCAATAAGATGGTCAAGTTATAATGGATCCATTTCAGTAGGACATTAAGTGTTTTCATTTATATGTATAAGTGATGTGCCACTTCATGAGAATCCAGCGTATTTAAAATGTCGGTATAATCCAGTATATTAGACTTTTAACTTAAAAACTAATATAAAGTGATACCCATTAAAGTTTGTAAACGAATGTTTATTCATAAGAAAAAGATTTATTTTACATTTTTGTGTTGTAAGTAGTCAATCATTTATAAATCAGTTGGTAGTAACTGTGATATACTCTTAATATATTCGTTTATTAATTAACCTTACAATTTATGCTGTCAAGATAATCAGCTATCACAAAGTCAAGTGGAATTTTATTGACGAGTTGACGAATCATGACAATTCATGATTCCCATTTCATAATTAAGAAAGAATTTTTGAGTATTTTGACAAAATGAATGCTTCGGCAATAAGTCATACACAGTAGCTAGGAATATCACAGGCGTTGAATATCTTATAATGGAGTCAGGATTAAAGGGGATATAAAAAAATTGTTCATTTTTTAAGAGTGTTTTATTCATCAAAGATATTGCATACGCAGTAATATTACTTTAATGTAATATTGACTGTCAATTAGTTTATATAATAATAAATTTGAATGAATGAATGAATGTGCGCTGACACTAATGTGAAAATTCATTTAAAATCTTCATTATCTGTGTAAAAATACATTTTTGGTAGGCTTATGTATTTTGAATAATGATAATAATAATATAAATAATAATAATAATAGTGTTTATGTATGTATGTTTACTTGCAAACCAACAAAAAAAACAAATCAATAACAGGATATCGAATATCTAACTTCGACAGGGTTTATTCTTTTCCATAAGGTCAGAAAAGTCTATTGAAACTATTGTGTACTATTAACAACAATAACTGACTGTAGGTTTATTCACGTACAATATTCACTCGATTATAGAGGCAACATAAGTATTTTTGCATTAGGATAGTATTTTAAAAATGTTTTAATTACTATAAATAAACTTATTTGATTTCACTGATTTAATTTAAATTACTCCTATGTAAATCATTTTTGATGTGGATTTAAGAAAGTAGAGAAGTATACATTTTTCTACTGTGAAATGATATTAGAAGGTATGCTAATGAACTTTGGACATGTAACATAATAGTATCAACCAACAAATTTAACTGTACTTAAAATAAATTTATTTAAGATAGATTTGATGAAGCGAAGTTTCAATAACATTCATTGAATCAATTATTGATCTTACTAACCTATTTAATCTCGCCTGTTACAATTGTAGAATACAGGCCACTGATCAGGATTCTACAACCAACTCTATTTTGGGCTCGCTTTTCCAGTTGTTTCCAAATATTATTGTTTTGATGTCTGCCTCTAATTCCCAACTCAATCTGTTCTATGGTCTCCCTCTTTTCATCTTACTTTTAAGATTCCAAGTTAGTCCTTGCCTCGTGATTCAGTTTGATGATTTCTTCAATGTATGTCCTATCCAATTCCAGTTTATTTTCCTTATTTTCTCTTCAGATGGAAGTTGGTTTGTTCTGTCTCACAGTAAACTTTTGCTGATGGTATCCGACCGACGGACACTAAGTATCTTGCATGAACAACTGTTTTAAGTACCTTAACATTCTTGATGATGATTGTGGTAGTTCTCGAAGTTTCAGCTCCGTACAGCAGAACTGTCTCGATGTTCGTTTTGAAGATTGTGAGTTCGATGTCGACTGATAGTTGTTTGGAGTTCAATATGTTCTTCAACTATAGGAATACTGTCCATACCTTGCCAATCCTTTCCTTTACGTTTGCATCAATCCTCCTTGTTCATCGATGATGCTGTCTAGATGAGTGTAATTCTTCACCTGTTCCAGAGCTTCTCCATCCAGTGTGATTGATTCGGTGCTTTCAGTGTTGTATTTGAGGTTCTTGGTTTTTCCCTTGTGTTGAAGCCTACTAATGTAGAGGCTGCCGCTACACTGGATGTCCATGATGAAAGTACGGAAATCCACAAATCTCCCGCCGTTTTCGTCCCTTTCTCCCAGTCCATGTTGTCCCATGATGCCCTCATACTCGGTGATGTCGGCTTGATGTTTACGTCTCTCATCAAGTATGTCAGGTCCTTTCCTGAGCAATTCTCTACGATGGTTTGCAGCTTCTCATAGAACTGATCTTTGTTGTCTTCATTGCAATCATTTGTGGGTGCATAACACTAGATAATATTCATTGTGATTCCCTCCTTCTTTGTTTTGGAGGATGCTTTACTGATTCCAGATCCATGAGATTCTCATTCGATAAATGCTTTTAGTGCTACTTTGGACAATATCAGTGCAACTCTTTGGGTGTGCAGAGCACTTTTTCTCATACCTAGATTACAATAGCAACTCTCCAGAAGCTTATCTATTCTGTCCATCTTAAATCCAATGGGTTTCACGTATTTCGAGCATCGCCATGTTGTATATCCTCATTTCCGCAGCTATTAGACTGAAATATCCGCTCTCCCACATTGTGCAGACATTCTATATATCTGTGTTAATTGTTGTTGATTTGATTGTTAGGAGTGATATTATCCTCGTGACTTCCGAAGAGTCGGCTTTAACCATATGGTGTCATAATTCTTCTAAACGAAGGTGCTTCAAATCTCAAGGAAGAGCTTAAATAGACTAAACGATTTTTCTAGTTAGTTTTCTTATGAAAGTTGTTTTCTAGGACATGTAGATGCTGACCACATGCCTAACTCTCCTTCTGTACACGGGATTGGAGCTGGGAGTAACTCTGGAAGAGCTACAAGCGGAGTTTCAAAATTACGAATCATTTCGATCTGATAATCTAAACTATGGCAAAAACATAAACACATAATATACCGCCTCTGTAGGCAAACTGAGTTTACAGTCTACAAATTATAAAACTTTGTGATTAACGTCAGCAGTAAATCTGTACTTCATACAAACTATTTAGTGTCAAAAAATTTCTTGTAGAACATTGTGATCAGTATCTGTAGAGTTTTCAAGAATAGATGCACCGTCTATACCATGTCGACGTTTAGTCATTTAAATAGCTTATTTTTTATACCAAATTTAAAACAAATCTGCTTTGTATAGAATAAATAATTGCTTACAGATAGACAAACACACTGGCATACTGTTATGGAGTTAACCTGAAGTATAAACTTGTATTTCATCCATCCTTAAATTAGTTGCTAGTGATAAAAGAATGCAGAGATGCGTAAATAAATAAAAATTATTAACTTTGAAGAAGACACTTATGTCATGTCCATTAACATTTCTCGCGAATTTAGTGTTTATTTACTAGAAAATATGGTTCTTCGTGTTTTATACACATATTTTTTGCAAGTGTAACTATTTTCATCAGTACGTTCGAAATATGTTTTTAACTGTTTATTCATTTCATAATCTGTGCATAATTTTCTGATCAATAAAGATTTCACATTAAATCATTCGACCGGGATGCATGCATTCTTGACTCCACGTAACTTATAGTCACAAACTTCTGACCTTATTTCAATTATAATGTGTATAAATCTCATCAATCAGTAACGGGGTGCATTTAAAAAGTATTTATTACACTTGTTAGAATTTTATAATTAAACTTATGTACTGTCATAAAGGTGGTACCTCCATTCATCATTCCATATAATTTTTTCTCATACAGTATATCATATCAATATGATGAGGTTTCACTATCATGACTGGAGGAACACAAGTTTAAAAAGAGACCGTTCTTAAAATAATCTCTTTTTGAGATTTATTTCTGTTCTCTAATACTTTGTCATTACGATAAACATTACTTCAATAAAAGTCTAATACCTTAATCAATAACTGTATTTATTGTTTTTCTCTTTTTCTCATAGACTTTACAAGCTTTAAAATTTTTGCATAGCAAACATGTAATACATCGTGATATAAAGTCTGATAATATACTCTTAGGGTTAGATGGTTCTGTAAAATTAACAGATTTTGGATTTTGTGCACAATTATCTGCTAAAAATGATGATTTTAAACGAACTACAATGGTTGGCACACCTTATTGGATGGCACCTGAAGTAGTTAGCAGAAAACAATATGGTCATAAAATTGATATTTGGTCATTAGGTATAATGACATTGGAAATGTTAGAAGGTGAACCACCTTATTTAAGTGAAAATCCTTTAAAAGTAAGTACATTTAATTGTATTTTCTATAATGTTAAAAGTTATATTTTAAAATAGTTATTACATATATTAATATGAATAGACAAAGAGTATGAAAGAATGTATTTGAACAGTTGTCGATACTATTTTGTAAAAATGATTTTACCAAAAAAAAGGAACTACTGGCACGTTTTGTTTGAAACCATGCTACTGTTTTTTTTTGTTCTTGAGAAAGTGGATTAAACATTTTACAGACAAATTAATTTTTACTAAATTACTGATGTATTTTTTTTTTGAAAAAAACAACCTATTTTATACTTATTTTATACTTATAATTAATATCTCAGTAAGATAACTATAATAATATGGAAATGTTATCTCAATGATAATTTCAGAATTATGTCAACTTGCTATATCAAAATTAGATATAATAACATAAAGAAAATACTTGTGGTGGTCGGTATTCGATATAATCTTTAAACTTCGTATACAGTTCGTCTTGATAACCGTTCTATATAACGTCCCAACGGTATATTAATCAGAAGGCAAATACGAAGTGCTGATTACGTTTATTACGAGACCACACACATATATCCAAATGATCAGATGAGTTAAACAATCATAGAAGAGTTGTGCCGAAATGCAAGCAAGCGAGCGAGAGCCATAGCAAGAGCGAGATGAGAGTGTGTGAGTTTAAAACCAATATATATTTTTGAGAGTTAATCGGGTGTGGATAAATTATCGATTATCTGCACATTGAAACCAATAGGAGGATAGTTTAGGAGTTAATGTACAGACATGCATTCGATCATACACACCGAAATTAACATAGTGAATTAAGAGTCTGAGTTACAATGAATAGACAGATGATACAGTGGCCAAATGGGCTTGCCACATACTTTATGAATACTGCTATTTAATATCTCATTCTTAAGAAGGAAAAAAATTGCAAATTTAGACTTTTAAAGTTGATTAACTTTTTACAACAATTATATACATAGTGATTTCACTCATTGTGGAATGAATATATTTCATAATATACTGCATATATTTTTGCAAATGATTATCATAACTTTACTGGTATTCATGTTTACAATTGAATGATTCTGTAGAATTTTCTCAAGGAATATATGCAGTTAGAAATTAAAAAGTCATGTTTAATTCTAACAAATATTTTGATAAACAATTTGTCCAGGCTGGAAGAATATGTCATCATTAAGCTTAGATTGATTGAATAAGACTTAATCATTGTCTAAAATGGTTTAGAAAATATCAAACCTTTTGTATTGATATGTAAAATGACAGATACCTTATGTCTTGTCAGTCAAAACGTTTTATACAAGTGTCTGACGTCACTGATATCACTAAATTTTGACAACATATTACCAATCCTTTTGCTCCCGTCTTCATGTCCAGTTTTTGTTTTGAATTTGCCAGGAGATTACTATGTATATTTTGGAAGTATCTCTTAGTGCTAGAAAAAAAGCCCTGATCTTTCAGTTAATTTGTATTGGGAGAATAAAATAAGCATTACCATAGTATGATTCTTAAAAAACCATTACTATGTGTTCTTCAGTTTCTAAATATAAAATGGCATTACCTGATATTATTTTGTATATTGGTTATCAGTAGAATTCATAAAGTCCATTTAATAGAATCCAGTCTTAAATATTGACAATGAGGAATACAAATCTTTATCATTATAACAACATGAATAGTAATTATCTATTCACATACAATACCATAAAATTTCAGTTAAGATTTCATAGTATATACTAATGCAACAACTCAAACGTCAACATTTTGAAATAATAAAAGGAAAAGTATCATTAGAGAATATGAAAAACTTAATTTTGCTTTGTAACTATTTTTATCGTAATTTGCATCTATAAGAATCATAAAATTCAAAAGATTCACGTTTACATTTAAAATTTGTTTTAAAAAAACAAAACAATTTAATGAATTTTTAATTATTTTACGACAAACTTCCTATTACTACAACTGCTTTTCTTTTAATAACGGCTAAATAATATGAATATTACATTCATAGACGTTTTCAGCGTTCTCAGTTTTGTTTTGAATTTATTTGCAGAATTATCTATGTTTATTGACATGATGGAATGCCACAACATCTATCAGCTTATTCATGAATTTATATGGGAATACATTCTCTAAAATGACTCCATAGAGTTATACTTACTGAAATTGTATAAAATTAAAATCTGACATGAGTTTCGCAACTGTTATACTTAAACCCAATCTATCAAATTTTATTCATTACTTTATTGTTCATGGAAACTTTAACTATATATAGAAAAGTTCGAAAATTCATGGTTTCTCAACTTATCACTAACATATAAAATCGATTTTACCAAGTATTAAAAAGAACGAACTGATTCAACTATGGGCTATTATAATTTAAACAGCATATTTGTCAGAGTAAACATAAAAAAATGTTCGACTTATTGATTATGAACTTCACATTAAAAACATTAGATAATTACTCCTTTCAAAGTCAGTAGGTTTTTGAAGTTTATCTTTAATGAGAACTTGCTTTATGTTTGTAAAAATGTGAGAGCTAATGGATATTATTTTATCGTAGATGGTATAACAAACACTTATTACAACTGGAAGGTTCTATCATTCAATCTAAACCTTTTCGCTTGTAAAAATTTTGTTATTTATTTTTTAGCCTGTGATAATTCCATAAAAAATAATTATTCATTGATGGTAGTATTCTCTAAACGGAAAGCTCATTATTTTAACCTTATTATAGTTATCTTTACACAGAATATAGCCGGAAGTCAAAAACAGTGTCATTCCGTGACCATAAAACATCATATCCCTGAAAAATGTGACTTCATTACATGTTTTAAACCTTTTAAATCAGCTCGGTGCGTACTAAACTACTTGGGATTTATAAAAAAAATCCTTCCAGATCAACTCCGAGTTGCGTGCAAGCATCTTTTTTTACCCATTATGAGCAATATCAATCCACACACAATACTCAGAACTTATTTATTTGTGGATTTTAACAGCAATATAAATAAACATGAATAACCATGAATTTACTTAGAGGATTTCGAACGTAGTCTATGGTATAACTTATATGATATATAGAGTCCAGTACAAAAGCATGTACATAGAGAAACTGCTCGACTATAAATAAACAAGTTAAGTATTTCTTGTTCTATTCAGAATGCTTTGATGAAAATCTCAACTTCTTGTGATATGGTTGAAATACGTATCACTTATTCCTTACCATCACCTTATACTGAATATTACACAAGTATATGACTAAGCTGAAAGAATGTGCAATCAAAAGAAAACATAAAATCACTTTGCTAAGTCGTTGGTTATTATTTAATACTGTTTCATGGGGTTCAGACTTATGGATAAGTATTGTCAGAATCGTCGTATTTTATTCTTGAAATGCTCGATACAATGATCACAGAAGCCGATGCATTCCTCTAAAGATTCGGCTATTATTTTACACTTCGTCTATTTCATTTGTTTTCTTTTTAAATATATATCCCTTATATTGTCCTCACTATGACCGTCAGTAGTGATTTTTCCTGTCTTTTTTATGATATTCATTTACTGTTTCTTATGTAATATGAGACAAACACAGTTTAGACTGTTCTTAATTATATGTTATTTATGTCTATCTATCGATCTTATTATCAATGGATAAAACTCATTTTTAATAACTTTACTCTTTAGTGAGATATTTTGTTTGGTTAACAAAGCTATGTCTTTGAATAACTGCTTTTGTTTCAATAGTTAAGTCACGAGTAGATCTTAATTAAATAATCACTGAAAGCTAAGAAGCAATGGATACCTGTTTCGTCCTAGTATCAGACATCTCGATAACAAGCATCCACGAACTTTCGGTAGGTCGAATACAAAATTATCACGTCTCATCACAAGTCTTTAACATTTACACCACTAAATTGACACCCAACAATTTACATGTTTGGTTTTAAACAATTGGCCATATGGTTCAACAATCCTCCATTGTCTTCGATGAGTAACTGCATCACCCGACGTCGTACTCTACTGGTCAAGAATTTCTACTGACTGAGATAAAATATTAGTGACAGACCAACAGTTGCTGTATTAATAAATGTGACCAACACAGTTACTCGGCAAATATATAATTCAAACTTGAAAAAACTTAGCAATAAATTCAAACCCCCTTGTATCTATAATAACAAAACTGCAACAATGCAGCTAGTTTTTTGAGTACAGTGTAAACAGGGTACATTCAAAGGTGAGAAAGTCGACTGCGCAATATCCAAGACTTATTGATATAGGGAGACCAACGAGTTAGGGGTAGTCACCTTATATAATATGGAGAATAAAAGAACGTGCAGTGCGCATGAAAAAAAGCAATTTTAACACAAATCACCGATGTAATGCAAAAACATTTTCATGTGTTCGTCTATGCATTTATTTGAAAAAATAGATAATGTTGTGCAAAACAATGAATAAATGAGCTCGATAAGATATTCCTATGTGGAGTCATAAAGATCGTAGATTTTAACTTTCCAACCTAGTGATGATCAACGAATTAGTAGATATCTCCGTGAAAATATATTTTCCGCCTATAAATATCATTATGCAATCATTTCACGGACAGATAAGTGCAAGATAAATTGAATGAAAAAGAACGGAGATCGGTTTAGTTGTTTGAAAGTTTTGCTCAAAAGTGAGTTAACGAAATTCGCGATCTTGGTCATTTCCATAGGATTTTGTTGTACGGACATTCTATCTAAATTTTCGGGTCATATGTTCTGACATAGCTTTTGAATAAGGGGATGGATTTTGTCCATTCTTGGTGCATTTTTGTTGAACAAACGAACAATCAGGAAATTTTGATCACCAACAAAAACTGTTCAAATTCCCATATTTTTACTGAGCGTCCGAACTTCTTTGACTACTACTCTAGATCACCTACTAGTGAGAGCATCGTCAGTACTACAATATGGGTTTGATTTTTCCTTGTATAGTAAGGTTACATGACTATAACAGCAAATACGTCATTTATTAAATGTTTTACATTTTATCTAGTGAATAGAAACAACTTTTGTATAGAAAAAGCTTACTTCACAAAAAAAACAGTTTTAGACCTGATGCTTCTAGGTGTTTTCTTATTTTTTGTAAAAGTACTAATTCCGTGAGGAAATGTGAACACAGTTAATAAAAAGGTTATAATACTAGATTACGTAATATGAATAATAACAATAGATTTAGTGAATATAATAAAATGATTAAAATGTTTTTCACAGGTTGAAATCATGAGTCAGTTGAAGCTAGACCACCATTGAAAACCTGGAAGCACTGGACGGCCGTTTCGTCCTAGTATGGGACTACTCAGCAGTGCGCATCCACGAACCCTCCCCCCGCGGGGAGTCCCATACTAGGACGAAACGGCCGTCCAGTGCTTTCAGGTTTTCAATGGTGGTCTAGCTTCAATTGGCTCATGATTTCAACTTGTGATATAACAAAAACATTTTAATCATTTTATTATATTCACTAAATCTATTGTTATTATTCATATTACGTAATCTAGTTTTCTTATTTCATGAACAGCAAAATAATATGGTCACGATACTTTGAAATGTATCAGTCCTTTGTATATTAAATGCAAACATATTCTCAAAAGAATGTAGACACAAAAAAACGAAATATTTTAATACTTCAACTATATCATTATCTTTCATAAATAAAGTAAAACACTATTGATATTCTATTTAATTAGTCTGTATAGTTCAACTGTATTTTGCTTGATATTCATCTGAATGGATAATATATATATTTTTTTAAAATTTTAACTATACAAATCTATTCGGATTCTTTTATGATATCATATAAGTTGAAATGGTTATTTAGACATTGATATATGAGTAGAATAATGCTATCTTCATTACATAATTCTATTCGATAAAGCAAATTTTAATCGAGAAACAAATTTGAACATTTCTTTTTTCATTTTAATTTAAGAAATATTATATGAGAAGGGGTTTTGTGGAGATTTTAGTGATTTCAATAGTTGAAATGATGAGTCAATTGAAGCTTCACTGCCATGGAAAACCTGGAAGCACTGGATGGCCGAATATCGCGGGGCGCGGGATCGTGGATGCGCACTGCTGAAGAGTTCCATACCAGTGCTTCCAGGTTTTCCATGGTCGTCTAGCTTCAATAGACTTATGATTTCAACTACTGAAATATTATATATCGGATTATTTATTTATTATTGACAAGTTTATAATGAATGTCAAACATATAAGAATCTTTTATTCCTTGAAATGAACAAATTACAAATATGAATTATTCAGGTACTTGTTAAAGGATGTTTAGAGAACTATAATTTCAATATCATTCAATCAATAAATGAATATTTTTCAACTCTATAAATTATATTCTATTTAACAAAAGAAAAATAACATTTCTGTAATTATCTTTCCACTTGTTCATTATTTCGTTTAGAAAACTAACGTAAAATACTTGATAGAAAAGTATCAATTAAGAATAAACATCGTTTTATAATAAAAACGAAATTTTGGTAAAAACTATATTACTGTATATTTAATTTCTATACTTACAGTTTGTAAAAAAGAACCAAATCAATTATATTTAAATGAAACTATTTACAAATGATTGATCACAAGGTGGTGATCAATGTCATGTAAGTCAGATCCTTCTTAGATCAGATAGAATCTTATCGAACAAGTTGAAATGTAACCAATAGTCTATGTGAATCAACATAACGTGCACTATGTTGAGATAAAATGGTGGGTTTCCTGTTGACTACCTCCAACCACCATCTTATCTTAAAAGAAACTAGTCTAGAAAACAAATCAAATTCATATTTTAAAAAATTCTTATTAGTTTCCTCTTTATTATTTTTCTTATCTGAATGTTTAGGCATTATATTTAATAGCAACTAATGGTAAACCAGATTTTCGTAAAGATAATCTTAGTCCGGAATTATTAAACTTTCTTGACAGATGTTTAGAAGTGGATGCTCAATCTCGTGCTAACGCATCTGAACTAATTGAAGTAAACATTTTTATTTTCAAATATATATATATATATATATATATATATATATATATATATATATATATATATATAAAATTTACTAACGTTTTGAATAGATTTTATAATGTTCTGTGAAGGATGAATAAATAACGTTGTATACGAAGTGAAATCTGCTCCATCTCTCGATATGCTTAATGTGATTATAGCAACAACAGTGTAGAATAAATCTTATTCTACTCAGATTCTTTTTCAGTTAGAGAGGACAATGAGATTAGAACAATTTTCGAACTTAATCCCGAACTATAAGCTTGTCATATAGAGATAAACGATAGCAGTATCTAAGTAAGACTGTGCAAAGTAAACGTAAACGGTTATGAGGTATCATTATCAAGGTTTGACTTGCTAATTTCGAATAAATTGAGCATTAGGGTAGATTGTTATAAATAAATAAATATATTTGTAAACGGTTATTCATTTTTTAAACGTGACGTTAAACAGGAGACTGAAGCAAGTGCCTGATAAAATGGTTTTCGTGCTAATCGCTTCTCGGAATTTAATGTTTGTTTGTTGCAGATTGCTAAAGTACTATCCTTGTGGATAAATGTCACTCTGAACAATTTGACTGGAACCTTTTGTTATAGTCCAAAGCCGCCAATCAGAAGCAGCGAATTGTCGATCGGATCAAGGACGGGTAAAACACGTGCAAGCAGCCTAGAGTTATGATTGGTTCTGCTTTCGGCCTAGCCCATCCAGTTAAGTCCAGAATGCCAATCTCAGCCTCTGCAACATGAATCATTATATTTAAAACATACTGAGTTTATATACCAATCAAACAGACCACAACGTAGCATAAAATAAAAAATAACATTTATACAAAATTTGGCCAAATGTGGCTGTGAATGTATGAGGCAGTGACTAATAGATAGGGCATAATTCAAGAATGTTAAAACGTAAAATAATGGTTCATAGGTCAAAATAAAACTTATAATAAGAGGAACATGAATATGAATAGTTTAGTTATTTAACAATTATACAATAAAAATATACGTTTGGTATTGGCCCAAAAAAAGATCCCGAAGTTACCATTCATTATGTTTATCGGGACCTAACACCTTTTATCTGTTAGATTAAGGATTTATTCATTTTATATAAGGAACTATATTGTAATAACATATTTACGACTGTCGCTATATTTTGGCTTAAGTCAGCTCTAAATAATCTACTACCATGAAATTGCGTACTATTGACTAAATAAAGTACAGCTTTGAAAGAGTAAGATTTAAGATCGCAACATTTTCTCAACTAGCAGAAATGAGACTGACAATTGAGGCTTATACTTGTGAGTTAAATGATCATGTTTAGGGGTTCGTAGCAGCAGAAACACAATAGTTTCCTAAGAGTCAAGCTCGAATGGAGTAAAAAGAAACTAATTAGTGTTCCATCCGATGTTGAGAAACTGTTCCAAAACATTGATGACAAAGTGTGACCCAATATCTTAATCAAATAGCACATGACAGCTAAGTAAGTTGGAAGTAATAAAAGAAGATTAAATAATTAATTAATAGTTCTTATCAGTGTTGCTAATAACTGAATAACATCAACCAAATTTGCAATACGATGACTCAAGCAAATAACTTACAATTGTTACCTAGTCTAAATGGGTAGATAAAGTTGTGTTCAACAAATTGTTTTAATATATATGTGAGAACACTTCCCAAACCATAGTTTGGGTATATTTATGTCAATAGACGTGAATAACATCAGAATGAAAAGTATATTTGGCGTCCATTTCTCCTTATATTACTTATTGTAGATATATGTATTTTTACATGTTGATAATCTTATTCTAATTTGTTCTCTTTTTGCATGTGAAGCACCCGTTCATACAACAGAATGCTCGCCCAGTGATAACATTGATTCCACTCATTCTATTAGCACGAGAACAAGCTCGTTCTGTTACAGAATCATAAATCCTTGAGCCTATTAAATTGTGTAAATCTATAATCCTGGTTCAACGTTTGTGTATAAAAAAGGTTACAGAATACTTTGCTATTTTTAAAAAAAAAACACTGCTTGTACGTATAGGTTGCATTTTCAGTTTTAGATAATATGTTCAAGAAATTTCCTCACTTTATGAGTGATATCACTGCTCCCACTATTTTACATTTCGGTTATTGTAAAGATTAACTTCTGTTTTGCTTCATACTTTATCATAATACCAATAATAAACGAGCTGCGCTTCTAATATTTTTTTTAGTATCTTATACGCTATATAGCTAGAGTTCCTGGATTTATTTGTTTGATTATACTAAAAGATAATGACGAACACTGGATTTTTATATTGTATATTTGACTGTTGTTACATTACTGCTTTTGTGATCAATCTAAGAAAACAAAAACACTTGTAACCGATTATCGTATTTTTTTAATATGAAAACAAATGTTTTTTTCTTAAATATTACCTTGCACTAACAACACTTATTTAACTGTAAGAAAAAGAATGAATTAAAACAAAAATTGCCTTATAAAGACACATTTATTTAATTCCAATTTACTCAAACTAATTTTATAAGGTGAACTTTTATTCACTAGACGACTATTTAGTTATTCCTTTGATTTTTTTGTTATTTTAATTAATGCAATTTCATCTGGAAAATTACATCGATGTGTATGTCTTGTATACAGACAAAAATGCATTAATTCAATTTAGCATAATACAAAAACTGAATGACAGTTGCCAGAAGTAACCATTATATTTATCATTTTATTATTATTCATTCCAAACAGAATAATTATTTCCATGTAATTTAAAAAGATTTCATTGTACAATCGAAATTGATTTTATCAGTTTCTGAATACACGTTACATAAACTACTATTATTATTGTGTCATTAATAGTAACAATTGTATTCTTTTTTTTGCCAATTAAAATTCTCGCTTAGTGACTATCCGTTATAATCACGTTTTATATATGATAGACAATTTGTACAGTTTGATTTTCATTTGTATAAAATCATCAGGATGGGGAAAACAACTCTTAATTTATTGGCTTGTTATTCAAGAAATGCGAACTTTTAATGATAAGTTTATCAATAATTCCGGAAAATCAAACGTTCTAGTAATATTTACGAGGCGTTTTGAATTAAGTTTATTGTGTTGAATCGTGGTACACGATGACTTTGGACGAGTACAGACTCCGTTGGTAGTTGTCTAATCTATATAAAAAAGACTCGAATTGCATTTGTTCAAATGTTAAGATTAAGATAAATCATGACACGATCAATGATTTTGACAATCAGTTTGTTTTGCAGAAATGTTTAGATATACTTAGATAAAACCACCAAACTTTTATCCACCGACACTATTTTACTGACCTTGTATACACAGAAACAAAGCTGTGAATTTCCTTAGAAAACAATTTAGAACGGAGACATACACGAAGATATCCGTATTCCAATTTTAATAATTCAGTGCATCGATCAATGAAATATTAGTAAATTTATAACTAAGTGGGTGAAAGATAAATCCTCCGACATGCAAACTATTTTCGGAAACTTCCACTCGATAATGTCAGATTATAAATAACTAACAATCATGGTGCCAATTTATGGTATTCTAGATCGGTCCAAATGAACAGCCCTAAAGACTACATTCCTTACACTATTTCAATTTATTCATGTTGTTATTTTAATAATCACATGATCCAAAAAGAAACAATAAATTCTTTCTCGGACTTCAAAAATGATAAACACAAAACAAATAGAAACGAATAATCTTGTTGAGGTTTCTAATAAACCTCCAAATTATTCTCACTTTGACATTTTTAGAAAGTAGGTTAGGAAACTACCAACCAACTTTATTGATTCCCGAATAATTTGTATAAATTCTTCTTTCAGAGTTACTATAACTAACAAAGTTGTAACTACAAAATATTGTTGTGATGGTCAAACAGCCTAGAAACATTCGAAAACGAGGATTCGGTCATTCATATTGATTGTGGGAAGTGAAATTTAGAATATATAGACACCGTCGTCAGTTCTACTATCAGTCAGTCAGTCAGTGACAACGTAGAACTTCATACGTGCATATATCAGTTCGAGTTGCCACACCACATTAGCACAGAGATGCAGTGGTCGATTCGAATCCCTTAGTGCTAGATGTAGTAAAATTATAAGCTGTAATCAGAAAAATTAGGGTTTGAAGATGTTATTCAAGGAGTATAATCCAGTGAAATAAATTTGGGAAGAGAAAAAAGAGACAAGGAGGAATCAGGAGATTAGAATATGGGAGAGCACAAAGAGTGGATGCACTTGCGCCATTTCAAACGATTTTGAGCCATCCCATTCAAGGTCTCTAACCATCGGTTGCTATCATCTCGTGGATCCCAACCAGGTAGTCTACATCGTTCAGTCCACTTGTCAGTGACTTCATGGACTTGTGCCATGTTTTGGTCTGGCCTCCCCTAGCTCTCTTCCAACCTACTCATACACCACAAAACATAGCACGTCGGGGCAGTCGGTCGTTGGGCATATGCAACACGTGTCCCAGCCATCTCAACTGATGAAGTTTCACTACTTCATCAATTGATTTGCCATCCTTACCTAGTACCCGTTTCCTAACAACTGCGTTACTTACTCGATAGTCCCAGGATATACGAGCAATATTTCGAAGACACCTATGATCAAATACTAGTAACCTACGAATATCCTCTACTCTTACCGGCCATGTTTCACTGCCATAAAGTAGGATGGAACGAACTGCTGCGCAGTAAACACGTCCTTTGGTTGGTAGACGGTTGGTAGACGCCTACGCCATAAATGACGCAAGTTGGCAAAAGCTAGTCGAGCCTTCTGTATCCGTGCTGAGATTTCGTCACACACCAGACCACAAGGGCTGATGAGACTCCAAAGATAAGTGAAGGGGTCGACACGCTCAACTACTTCACTCCCAATCATTAGTTCGGGTGACGATGCCACCCAATCCTGAAGTAATATTTTGCATTTCGAGGAGGAGAATCTCATCCTGACCATGCTTGCATTGTTGATTAGAGTGGTCAGAAGACTCTGCATTTTGTCAGCGTCTCCACCAAATAAAACTATGTCATCAGCATATTCTAAGTCAACAAGTGAACCTCCTGGTAGAAATTCAACTCCTGGAAAGTTAGATGAGGAAAGTGTTATCTCTAAAAGCACATATACGACAAAGTTAAACAAGAATGGAGAGAGTGGACAGCCATGACGAACAACACTTGAGGTATTCAATTCTGATGACAGTTCACCATAAGCTCTCACTCGACCGGTTGTTTTCGAGTAGACAGCCTTTGTAAGGTAAATGTACTTCTTTCAGTAACAAACACTGCCATAGAACCTTACGATCAACAGAAACGAATACCGCTTTAAGGTCGAGAAATACTACCATTGTGGGCCATCTGAATGTGTGTCTATTTTATAAGATCTGACGTACAGGTCAAAAACCAGCCTAATTTTCTCTAGTCTGTTCTTCACGAGCTTTAGTTAAGCATCGAAGTATTATTGAAGTTAACATTTTAGACACTATATTAGTCAAACTGATTTCTCTGTGATTGTCACAATAGGACTTTTGTCCTTTCTTATAGACTGGCACAATCAGTGATTGAGACCAGTCAGATGGGATTACGTCCAGTTCCCAAATTCCACCTAAGACCTCAGTCAATATTGCTGCTAATACTGGACCTCCATCCTTAAAAGTCTCAGGGGTAAACCTGTCAGGGTCTGCTGCTCTCCCATGCTTCAGATTTCCTATTGCTTTTTCAACTTCATAGAGTCGGAGGACCTACATTAACTTGTCATTCATGTTGACTAGAGATCGTGGAAACCTAAGTGTGACTGAATGCCAGTTGAGCTGATCCTCAAAGTGTTCTGCCCATCGATCCAATCTCCTGGATTGAGAGTGAATAATGTGTCCACATTTTTCCGAGATAGTTACACCAACAGTAGGACTCCTAATACCGGTTTACTGAACAAGTCTGAACAGTTGTCTGCTGTTACCTATTACCACTGCTTTTTCCATCTCTCTTGCTTTCGCTACCCACCACTGTTCACGATCATTGCGTAGGCTTCTTGTCAGTTTGCGCTTAAGCTGACTCCGCTCTTCGTTATGTTCAGAGCCAGATGGGATGTGGCTAGTACAACCCAAGTCACGTGATTTCCATAGGAGTTAAGAACTGACTCATTCTACTGAAAGAAAAGTACAGTTTAAAGTCTGGAGAACAATGACATTATATGCAAGTAATCAAAACATTTTTGTAGATTGTTTAAAATTTGTATAAATAGTCTGTGTTCCGACAACTTAATAGTACCGAGGTAGTAGTGATGACATACAGTAATAAAATTCACCAAAAGCAAATCTCAGCAATAAAAAAATGCAGTGTATCGCAGTTTTCTATTCCACTTCAACTACGTCACTAGTTAGACAGTGACGCATGTAGTTCAAAATATCACATCGCCATCTGAATTTTCACTTGAAGTGCAATAACTAGTTTCCCAAGTGCAGTGTAAATGAACGATAACTTTTAGTTAACTAAGGATTATAGCAAAGAAAACGATAAAATACGTTATTAATCAAAACTTTTATATTTTTTCATAATCAGTGAAACATGTTTGCTGGCTACCAGCAGTTACAGACACATAGAGATACGAACATATACTGTATTTAAATACCAACCATAAGAGAAATAAAATATAAGATTAGAACAGAAAAATGATTGAAAGACTCTGCAGCATTATTATTACTAATAACAGTAGTAGAAATAATAATTGTTTCATAGGTGAAAATTATCATTCATAAAACGAGAAAAATGCCCTGTAAGACAATATCCAGTGTACTATTAGCGAAAATTTTACATTAAACGAAACCATTCAAGATAACAGTTTACATACATACTTGAGTTTTTTTTCGTGATTTGATTGGTTAGGTTTATAATAAAAGATAAGAAAATAGTACGTAACAGAGAGCAACAACAAAAATTCATGCCCGAAAACAACCTTGGGGAAAGAAAGAAAACTAACGGTGACATCAAAACGCTGATTAACACTTAAATTTTTTTTTTCTTTACAACCTAGAATCATCCTCAAGGAGATGATACTAAACTTGTCTGATAGCTAACGAAAATGATAAGATCGACATGATTAATTATTTAATAGTTTTAAAAAAAACAAGGACAACACACCTAAAACTTGCGAACTTCAACAACACAATGATTGTAATAAACCACATTGTGTATTGAATAACGAGGTCATGAGAAGTATGTAATTTATAGAATAGTAGCTCTTATTGCTTTACGTTACTGAATGACAAAATATGCAATAAAACTATCTTTTTTGTAACGAACTACATGAACTAGCATGTGTATATTAGAAAAACATGAGAATAGAATATTATTCCCCTAATAAAAAGGTGACAAAGTCTAACTAATAGGTGTTAAGGAATGTGAGAAAACAAAGTTGAGCACATAGAGTTTGTTAAATTAAAATTACACAGCATATATTGCTGACATACACTGAGTTAAGAAAATATATTTTCATACAATATATTCCTTGCAATAAATCATATTACAAGAACAAAATGATGAGAAGTCATAAAAAAGAAGACAGAACATATGTACTAAAGCGAATATGATTGTGTATCAATTTTACGCTAACGATAATTTAAATATATATAATAAACTGATGAACATATAAAACTATCCACGATAGGAATGGGATTGCTGGAAAAATAGAAAACACATACAAGGCAAACAAAGGGATTTAGCCAAATTATTATATAAGAAAAATTAAATAAATTTAAAATCATACGAATCCGCTAGGTCCTATAACTGGTTTCACTACGGGGTTGACTAGTACAAGCATCTAAAACTACTAAAAACGCTTTAACACACAATAATTACTGTTGTTTATCACTCTTTGACGTAATGTTTACAGCCTAACTGATTGATTTTCTCTATTCACACAACCAATTATCGTAAACAGTAGATTAAATTACTGTTAGTTGCCTAAAACTTTCGAAAATCAGCAACTACATTTCAGATTTCGATCATCTTTCGAGATATGACAGAAACAACTATTAGTACTACATACATAACAAACCACAGAAAATAGAATAACAACAAGACAGAGGAGTAAAGTAAAGTAATATTTCGATAGTCAAATAACAGAGGATTTCAAAAATAAACGAAAGGTATATATTTCAGAGTAATGATGTGAAGGAAACACATTTATACTCAGATGTCGCAAATGAGAACGTTTCGAGTTAGCACCATCATATTTTTGAAAATACGTCTTTCGATAGTATAACTCATTTTGATTGTATCCAAACTGCTATATGTTGAAGTGCAGGTAGAAATGACGAAAAGACATTGCTTCTTTTAATGCTTACGTATGATCCCGAGAATGAACATGATTTCAAAGAAAATATTTTCGGAGTTATACATCAAAAACACAGGTATCAATAGTACGGGATCGAAAAACGTAGGTACAACAAAACATACCACTGCTATTAGAAAATAATTTACATTAAGAGTCGGATGAATTCATGCGTAAGCGATCTAGTACACGACGCCTAACATTGGTAGATAATCGTGGATTGCTATCCAATACACGGGTTAATAACTCCGCTAAAAATTCGGTTGTATACTGAGGTGACGAAGCATCGACTGCCTGAAACGTAGCCGCTAAATTGGAGATCGAATCCGAAGCACCACTAGTGACTTGACTGTAAACATCTTGGAGCTGAAGAAGAAATCACAAAACATTTGGACGTGATAAAAAGAGAATAAGTGTAATACAATGAGATATTACGAAATAAAACGTTTGAGTGTACGGTCTAACAAACTTCATATTATTTTGAGATAACTCGATTTTTAACAGTATCGTTTACACAGGTAATCACATAGAAACCTGAAGACAACACAAGTAATAACAAATCAACACCTTTTTATCGAATCAATTAAATCGCTTGTTTTATTGTTTACAAAACGAAAGCCGATTATACATTCACTTGATGGGCTTAGACGGAGAATCCTTGTGATGCGAAATCCGAATAAGTGTCGACAGATTTCATTTTATTTATTTATTTTAACACATAAAAATTAGATTTTCTGTCGGCGTTATTTACTTTTAAAGGGACATTATACAAACAAACTAACGGTGTAGCAATGGGGTTCCCTGTGTCCCGATTGTAGCCAAAATGTTTTTGGCACACATAGAATCGAATATTTCCGCCAATGACATTAAACCACAAATTTGGCTTAGATATGTAGATGATACCTTTGTTGTGACAAAAAAACTCATCTAAGATCTTTTTCGAAACGGATCAATACACTTTCATCGCACATCAAATTTATGGACGAGAATGAAAATGAACATGGTGAGCTGACATTTTCAGATTGCTTGGTGAAAAGAAATCTAAATGGAATTCTAAATCTATCCGTCTACCGAAAACCTACACATTCAAATTTTTTATATTGACTTCAACTCGGCACATTCATTCAGTGCAAAGATCTCGCTAGTCCTAAAACTTTTAGAAGAGTTAACAAGATTATCACATTGGAAGCGGATAAACAAAAAGAAGAAAAGAATGTAATCAATATCTTACAATTCAATAATTTTCGTACGAAGATTATTAGAAGTGTATTAAAACAAAATGTTTCACTGATTAATAATAATTCGAATGAAATACCATGGATTGGTACTGCAGTTTTACCATACCGTCGCGGTATGACACAACTCCAAAGAATTTTAAAACAACACAGAATTAAAGTATATTACAAAACAACGAAAACTTTCGAAATACTTTAGTTCGCTTAAAAGATAAACTCCCATTTATGTCAACACAGAACTGTCTACAAATTAGGATGTATCAATTGTGACGCCTTCTATATTGGAGAGTCATATCACGAAATCTTCACTCGAGCCAAATAACATATTAGGTTCAAAAAGAAACCATCTAACAATCCCGCAGAAGTGGATAGACTTCGAATTAAATGTGTAATAGCAGTTCACGACATTTTCAACAACCAGCAAATCGATTTCAAAACCATTAAAATATTACAAAAACTTTATTCGAACTACAAAGAAAGGATAGTAGCTGAAGCTTTCTACATAATGCCTAATCCCACTGCTCTCAATAGAAAAGGCTCACTATACATCCGACTATCTATCCTATCTATCATGTCTGATATTATTCACATTTCACACTATTACCTTACCTATAAATTAAACTTCATCCTTTCTCACCAGAAAGATCACCTTTTTCATCCCTAACCTTGCACACATACACAAATTTACATACATATCGCTTATAAATCACCTTGACCGAAATGACATGACATTGACTTGTTCAGACCTGTTTTTTAATTGATCGCACATAATATTCTTGCGTTGTTTCTTTATATTATTTAAACTTGGATTAATTTTGATTTGGTCACTTATCTGAAGAAGTCACAAAACGTCAGAAAATCTAATTTTTCTACTCATTGGGATATTACAAAGACATTAATTTATTTAATTATTCTGATAGTTTTTGACTAAGGAAAAATGTCAGAGACAGATTAAGTCCCTGTAATGTTATTTGACCAACACAGTTGTTCGGCAAATATATGGTTCAAACTGGAGAAAACATAGCAACAAAATCATACGTTACACAAAGTTAACACTAGACAATTTTTTTCAGAAAAATGGAAGCCATACGCATAAAAAATGAGTACAGTGTTAGTGCAAAATAATTTATCTTACATCCTGAAGCAAAGGTAAAACGTGCTGATGGAAACAAGATGGTTTATTCAGATTTACAACCAATGGTGGTGATTGACTATGTTGAGGTTTGTTATTAGCTGATGTAGAAATATTCTTTGAGTTGACTAATTTCGAGTGTCCAGGATCACCAACTGTAAAGAAAACGAGGAAAGGGAACGTACAGAAACAAGCGAATGTCTACTTGGAAACAAAATGAAGTCTTCGGAGTGTCTAATTGACATGAATCAAGTCTCATTTCGTACATCATTCCTTTTCCTACCACTCAAAATTGCTTGGTACTTATAAAAGCTTAAGTGACTTTATGAAATGGAATTTTCGTCTCTACGAAATGATTTTACTACAGTCAGGCAAAGGTAGTTGAATCAGACAATTGTTGACACGTCTGATATAATGGTTCAGTTATCACACTAACTATATTATACAAGAATATAATTGGAAACTTTATTCTGAAGAATGAAAAGTAAAAGGAACATTTTATTAGTATAAATAAATGGTAAATTTCATGACCTCCAACTTCATGGTATGATTCTCCAATTGGATATGATGAGATTGAACAAACAGTTATTATACAGCGAAAAGAAACATTGCAGTCTCGTGAACGAGCAGAAGCAGCAGCATTATGTTTGTACCATATAAAAAATATGTATCCGTTGTAAGAGATAATTGTGCTTTCGGAAAAATTTCACTAAAAAGTACTGTGTCACACTCGTTATTAAAATTAAAATGTTACAAATTAGAAGTTAAGACAACTCAGAATTATAAGACATCGTTATAATTCATTTCACTAATTATAACCTTTAATATATAACCAAACACAACTAACCATAAACTTGGCGTGACTGAGGAATATCGCTAGCCATAATTCTAGTAACAGGTTGAACATTTTGTGGCCGGATAATCGGAATATTAGTAGGGCCGGAAGATGCATTAGGACTAGCGGTATTCTGATTTGAATTCATTGCTGAACGTGACATTTGGACACGAGAATTTTCATCTGCTGTACATAAACCAATTTGTGAAGGTTGAAACCCCGAATGAAGAGGTCCTCCAATTGCAGGGTTCGCAGCACGTCTAATTAGATAATAATTTGGACAAAAAAGGTTGCGTGATAAGCATTTAACAACTACTTTCAAAATTACTAATTTGTGCCATTTTTGCAGAGAAAAAATATAGCATTTCCAATACAGGTAAAAAGAATGCCAAAGGAAGCAAGATAATGTTTAAAGTTGCAAGAGCGCATTGTACCTACGAAACATACCATTCAGAATAAATAAATACATAAATACCTTAATTAGTTTGAGCATATTTAGTTGAACAAAAATACACTTTCGGCATTTCAGTATACATTAGTAATGTGATAAGACGAGATAAGGAGTGCAAGAAAACCACAGGAATCTTGAATTAGCTTTCGAGATAAAAAGGATATCATGTTTTTTTCTTGATTCATTATGATCTTTACTTAATACTACTTCAGTTTACGATCCAATGTGATAATCGCTTAAAGAAAAAAAGTCCTATTTTTAGCATGGTAATTTGCTCAGCATAACATTGATTTTATTTTCAGTATGAGGTTTACTTACTACAATATACTTTGTATTAAACTAATGTGAACTTTGTTCAGTATGATATGCAATATGTGTCTATGTAATAATTCTGTGCACCTTTCATATATATGACATTTGCTAAGTAATTATCAAATGGATATACAAGATAAATAAGCGTATTTTTTGGTTAAGTGACGTGGATATTGAAAGGTCAATGAGCCTTTGTTTGTATCAAACTTTCGTGTTCTCATTTCCAGTCGTGAGAATTGTCGTGGTTTCCAATTTCAAATAATTACCAATAAAATACAACAACTAAATTGGATAGATAAATGAATTGAATATCAAAAATGTGTAATCCTGAATAGAAGTTATCATTTGTCGAATTAAACGATAATCATAATGCAACCGGTACTAACTGAAAATGTCCAGTATGAACAATGTAACGGAAAATAAATTGGACAGAAGATGAACAGACATTAAATACACTAAAAAATCATATAATGAAGACTAAACAAACATAAATAATGTCACGCATAACTAGATAACACAACTAATGACCACAGAGAAACTCAAAAAAAGGAAACATTACAGAGTCCAACTAAAAAACAAAGCGACTGGATTATTTCTGCCTGCAACGAAATATACCCATAAACAACTAAAAAAAATATTGATATCGAAATTGTGACCAACTAGTAGGTTTTAAATGATTTGTTTACGAGTCATGATTATATTTCATAAAAGCAAAAACTAGATTAACGATAAGCTACATTTGAAAGTAATCGCTGTAGATGGTAAATTATGAAATGCATACAGTATAGAACCTGGCATATGTGTACATCAGTCCAAGTCGTCACACCTCACCGGTACTGCGAGATGAAATGTTTACGATGAATTCCAGTGGGAGAGATATTAGCAATATTGGTGGCAACAGAAAAGATTAGGAAAAGAAGATATGATTTCAGACGCATAAACTAGAGAAAAAATTCATTACGAAGTAACTTATGAACTTACATCTAAGAGTGAATGCAACTGTCGCATTCCATACAGTTCTGAGCCGTGTCACACAAAGTCTCTAGTCACTGGTTAAAATAACCGAGCAGACCACAACCAGATAATATGGAACTACTTACACGGTTCAGTCCAAAAGTCAGTAACTTTTTATGCACCGATACCATGTGTTTAGTCGGGCCAACCCTAACTTCCTTCCAACCTACTCCTAGACTAGCCATCATTGTGCATCAAGACAGACTTACACACTACGTAGCGAACTCGAAGTCTGTTTTGTTGATCAATAATACCACCAGCACATTCACTGAGTCAGTTCACCGTTTAGTGTACGGATTTGCAGTTACTAAATTGAATGATTTACAGAACCCTGTTTATTTAGTATAAATACTTTTGTTGATCTTATACAACGTTAAAATTCAAAGCTACACATCGAGAATAATAACGAAAACGATACAGTGAAACAAATTTATTTCAACCAGGAAATCTTCGTACAACCTAGAGCGAACAGGAAACAATGGGAACCTAACCATAGAACAATCCACACAAAAGTAACATTGAAAGACAAACAGTATACATTATCTCAATAAAAACATTACTGTCAGTGACTTTCTGGATTTATCAGCGATTACCGTATGGGTATCATTAGAAAAGTACATACAATTTACAAACTGAAGCAATGGGTGAAGAACAGTATGAGACTTTCATTATATAATCATTTCCGTGTACAATATTGGAAAGTGACTGTATAAAAGTCGCGTTTCTATGATTAAATATGAACGGCTGTGAAAACATTTCAATGAATTGTCTACTGAAGCTTTCAATCACCATTCAACTAGTGAATAAAAGACATTTTAAACGGTTACAAGTATAGGGATAAACATACAACATTTAGACTTATTTTCTACTTTTATTAGGAACTATCTCCGCAGTACCCCAATAAATGTAATGAAAAGTTAGGCAGTAAGGAATGGAAAGACCAACCCACTAATTACAATGTTTAATTTTTAGTGACTACTTACGATTCATATCCATCAGAGAGACGTCGTTCGGCTTCAAGTGCAGGACCACCAGATGTTCGCTTGATAACAGACTGGGCATCTGAACTGGATGGTGACGATGAAGAAGAATGATGGGTAGTAGAAACATCGGGAGAAGAGTAAGCTGAACCTGGATTATGAGAAACCTGTGCAGACTGTGATGGCATAGCACGAACTGTTTCAAAATTCCACTTGAATGTATCAGACGCTTTTCCTGGTCTCATACCATCAAAATGTTTCTTCTTTTGACCGGGTTTTTCAGCACCAACAGGAGCTCCAGGAGTATTCGGATGAGCATTTACAAGATCTTCCTCGTCTGGAACACTAAGAAAATTCAAATAGCAACAACCAGTCTTAATGTACGTGGAAGCCAATACAATAACGACAAAGTAAAAAATGAACATAACTGTAATTCATCACGTTCTATCTTTCCATATATCATGATATTGTGTTGAGAAGTGTTTTAAAAACAACGTAAACTTTACAATTGATGAAGTTAGACCAACTGATGAGCATTTACTGTCTCACCGAGTTGATGTCTATAACGTCGTTAACCAAAGTCATGAAGCATCCATGGTCGGATATCAAAGGTCATAAAATATATCACAATTGTAGGTTAGACGATTATATTACCGTTTCATGTACTAGTTCTCTGTAAATTTTAAATTCTTTAGCCTACACTTTTACAACTCTTCGATTACAAAATTTAGTTTTTAATCAAAATTTTCACTGATTTGAACTTTTAGCATCTAATAATAGACAATAATGTCATTTGGGACATCAGCTTAAGCACTTATCTAAAAAAAATAAGACTTCAAATATAGTTAGTGTTCCATTTGGATTCAATTCTAACGATAGTTTTCAAGTCATATACGATTTTCAACAAATTTATTAAAAAAACCTGTACTTATAATGTGCCAGCTATCAATATATTTCTTCCAATATTAAAACATAATTGGATGGATAAGATCAGTAAGTACTTTACCCAATGCCAACTTGTGAAATCTGTATAAGGACGAAAAACGTGCAGAAAAAAAGAGAACAAAACCTCTTTCAAGGTTTTGGTGCAACTGGGTCACTAGGAGCCATTTTGAGGCATATCGCTTGAGGCCTCTAACCAGTAATTTCGGTTATAATATGAAACTTCCAAGATAAGTAGAGTTATTAAGGCCCTCAAATACTCCACTCCTTACTAACAGACTAGTATTGAAGTAAAATCTTGTATTAAGAGAAAGAGAAACAAACTTTAAACATCCTTATATTGTCACTTTAGAAAACATTCAGGACATAATTTTGTCAGCGTCTTCAGTAAGTAGATCTACCCTTTAATAATAATAATAATAATAGTAATAACAATAATAATAATAATACTATGAAACTCCAGAAGTATTATTATCATTTGGAAAAATGTTAAACAAATAATTTCATAACTGAAAACTTAATGTAAGAAACAATCAATTTTTAAAAATAAAACAGTTTAGGTTAGAAACCATGAACAGTTAATGAAATGTGATTACAAACAAGATAGGAGAGTACAATTCGTTACTACGTAAACGTTATGTGATTTCACAACATTTCTATTTAGTCGTGAGTAAAACAAATAGTTACTAAACATTCACTTGGATTTCAATGTTAAATGCTGAAAATTTTTTAGAGGTTTATAAATAAAAAGTAACTAAATTGTAATAATACAACGCAATTATTTAAACAAAAAGATCGAATTACGTAAGTACAGACATATATGCTACGAACAAAAAATGTTTATGTGCAGCATATGTGATAGTCTTTTTTTTCAGTGAATTACACTATAAAAATAGTATAAAGAAAAGAATCAAACAATAAACACAGATCTTGGACAAATCAGTATCAAAAAAGGAATGTGAATGTGCGTACGTGCACAAAAAGACAATTCAATATTATTTTTCATATAGCAAAAAACCTCTTTTCATGTCTGTGTAAATTGTGTAAGGTATGCAATACTCCATTTGTTTAATTGGCAACTATCGATTTGACCAAAAACTAAGAAACTTTACACGTCTAATGCCGGAAACCAAACAATCACATCACTATACAATTTAATACCACACAACACTATGTATGGGGGGGGTTGAAATTCACTAACCTAAGCTTGCTAACAATCTGAATCGTGTAGTTGTATAATCATGGCTTAAAATACAAAAATTGAATGATTCGATCAAAGAAACTATGACCTTTTACGTAAGATTAAATTAACAACTCAACGTAAAGTAACGGGATATTACTAATACTTAATCTCCAAATATTTAAGTGACAATCGAATAATGCAGGACAAATATTGAGCCTCCTAAGAATAAACGCAAATTCCATAACCAAAGTTACCGCATCTTTACCTGTGGTATTAGGTGGAATGATGAAATGTGCCAACGTAAAAGTGTGGAATCAAATTGACAGGCTGATTAAAGAATTCCAGCTGTGTAGGCATATTTAATATGTATTCAATATGAGGTTGATACCCCACAAAGAGATTCGCATTTTGATACACATCTTTATGTGAGAATCCTACAGTTGATTATATATATAATTAACTCTAGAATTCTCACGTCTATACTGATGAATAACGGGATTCCACAGTATGATGTTTTGTTAGGAGATGATCAATCGATTCAAATTACTCGGTATTCTCAGTTGATATTACTGAACGAAATAAATGTAACTAAATAATTGACAATTCGTCCTATACAGAGTTTAAAGACTGCAGAGAAACTGCTCTAAATACCTAACATTCCACTAAATCGCAACAACATTGTACCATAATTCTGAAACTAAATTCAAATATTTTAAAACGAGTATATCTATTCTACGAGTAAGACCTCTTGTTAAAGACGAAAACTTTTAAACTATGGTAAGTTCAATATTGTATGAAAGAATGTGAGCAAGGGATTTCTATCAAATTACACCTAAACAGATCCATTCTGATTATCTATGCAGAAAGATGAATTTTAAGCAAAACGCATACGACAAGAGCTTCTCATGAAGTTTCCCTTGATGATTTAAGCAAGTGTTATAGGTAAATACTACTAATTGAGTTCTGAAATAGACTGTTTCATTTACCGTTTATATGTATAAATATACCGTGACCTTTCACATTTCTATATATATCCCACTACTTCGTTCAACCAAAGATTTAGAACAAGACTCTTAGGTTCATAAATGACAACTTTGCCACCACTTGGTTGTCAAAAATATCTACTCTCACTTTACTGTGGAGTAATAAAAAACGTCACATAAAATCTCACCTAATATTACACAAGGTGGGATCAACAGGAAGATAGAACAATGTTTAGAATACAACAATGAAAGTTTACGGAAAGTAATACTCATTCCATTTTAAAAATCGAGGGACCAAGTGAAGCAGGCCTGAAGATTAATAACAATCAATTACTTCTTCACACTTAACAGTAACTGAGAAACGAAATCTCTCTTGACTTTGTTTGTATTACGAGTTTTTAAAGTTGTTTCGTCATTATATGATTCCCCTCTTCTACAAAATACCACGTCCTTTATAATGGAAAACTACTGTGTTTTGTTGTGATGAAATCTATAAATAGATAGTCAGTAGTGTTACATATATGTTTATATGTTTTTTATTAACTGATTTTCCCATTAACAACACTTTAATAGGCACACTGACGATAATTTAACTACAAACTTTTGTTACTTGAAAGAGACGAAGCAGCTTTGGTTTGTACTTTTACGTTCCTTGTAGAAAAATAGTGAACTCATAACAATAAATCAGCTTTATCACACTTCAAAACCTTTCGTCCTACATCCCTGGTCATACCAGGTAGAATACGAAATGAGAATATAATGATTTATTGATATACTGAAGGTTATTGGTTAGGAAACAGATTTTCAACAATAAAACTACCAATATTGAATGTTGAATTTATAAACTGTTCAATTAACATTAATATGGTCACACAGATTACATACACAGATAGGAGGGGCTTATTTCTTAAAACTTAATTAGTGCTTTTCTCTTATGCAGTCAAAATCAAAACTGACCTTAAAAGTCGTTCTTTTGGCTTTCTAACAGCCAATGACTACTTTGGCTTAACAACACGTAAAATGAATTATGAAGACAGTAGTTTACAATTCCATTACGTGATACATATAACTTCCAAGAGCTAAACAATTCAAAACATATAAGGCATCAATATTTTCTCAGTAAAACTCCATAACGACCCAACGTTGTTTATGAATGCATGGAGCCAAGAATTAAAATGTATGAGTTGTGGTCTATGGATGAAATATAATTAAAATATCAGGATTTCGAAACAATTTACACATCATCTTAAGCATATGTAATGACTAACGTTAAACAATGAATTATTTTAACTGAAAAGCCAGGACAATAGGAAGATATGAGATGAGATGTTGAAGCAAATAATGGTGAAAAAAACATTTAAAAGCTAAGAGATTTTCAGTCAGTCAATACATACCTCTTACCATTATTTAGAAAATGTCCCGATTCTGTATGATAAAGTAAATATGTTGAACACGAAAACAGCAGTTATGTATGTTTGAACTTACAGTCCATCGTCGTCAGATTCACCATCTGCATCATCATCTCCACCTTCATCACGCCATTTTCGATAGCGCTCAATTAGCTCTTGCAGAAAAGCTGTTTTACGAGCCTTTTTAATAAAACTGTGACGTAGCAATTCATGTGCAGTTGGTCTCTGGAAAGAGATGAATTTGACGGACGTAAAAGCAATTAATGTACATAGAATATAAAACAGACTAAACTATTTACAGTAACGCACGAATAAGTTGTTTAAGTAACCCTAGATAGATAACAATCAAAAAGTATCTGAAAAGGAATTTATACAAATACATACGATATAATTCTGCAGCAGGTATCCAAAATAAGAGATCACAGCCACAATACTACCAATGAATAAAAGTACTTACAGTAAAGCAAATTAGGAAACAAAAAACAGTACAAAAGCAGGAGGCTGTTAATAAGGTACACAGGAACTTGACCACTTAGTAACTTATCGTTACAATGCGATCGCATTGCAATACGTTTTCTAGCATACATCATTTCATTGAGTATTTTGAATGACTGATTTCATTCTCACCTATGTGGTGGGTCACTTGTTTCACAACTTGTGGTATCACTTCACATCACTGATATTGTTACTCCAGTCTACATCCTTAACTTCTGATTAACATATCATGATTCGAAATTGTTAAAATCTAGTGAAACTCGAACAATTGTTTAATATATATATATATACTTGGTTGATGGGTTACAAAATTATTTTTACTTAAACCCGTAAAATTATAACTTGGTAGAGATAAACAGGTTACATAACCTTGTGTAATGAAAAACAAGCGAATGGTGGGTATTAAATCAGAAGAAAGTCTAAAAAACTGTAATTGCATAGCATTAATAAACAGAAAATTAACAGATAATCAAAACAGAATTAGAATTTCACTAGCTTCTAGAAATAGTGACCATCGTACCACATATAGATTTACATACGAAGAAAAGATTGAAAAAAGTTTAAATTATTCAGCAATGTGGAAGCATATATGTTCTGAAAAAATTGAAGACTACTAACATGGAGTTGTAGACAAACAACCTAGACAGTGGATGGAGTATGAATACAAAAAACGAAGTAACATGAATAAAGTGAATCTATAAACATAATGTACGTTTGACTACTTCCTTGCATGTGTTAAGTAATACATACAGAGAGCGCGTAAATTATAAGTAATATAACCACCAAATGGTTTTCGGACTATTTATATAATAACTAAAAGGAAATGAATACAACCAGATAAATAACATTTTACATATTGGCGTTAAATAATTATTTCAACATCCGTTGATGAGCTAACAAAGTGTCATTATATTGATAGATGATCAATATCATTGTGAAAATCAATTCAACATGAAGAACGGAATTGCGAGCACAAGTCAAACTGCTCAGTGAAGCCTTCTGATGTACGTGATTTATTTCATTTATTTTATTTGAACACATGGATATTGATACAAGGAGGCATCAAATACATATGCGCCACACAAACCAAATGTGATTTGTGTGGGGGCTGTGATACTGCCTGGGTGCCCAAACCGAAGCAGGTGGTTTTCTTGAGGGGGCTACACCCGGGGCCTTCGGCCCAAAGGTCTGATCCACAAGACAGTGGAACATTGTAAGGAGATGTAGTCCTATGGTAGCCGGTGACCAACGATGGGTTCATTCGCCATTTGTTCCCGCAGGATACTGGAGCCCATGTGCACCATTGGTTTGAAATCAGGGTTTTCCAACTCACTTAGGTGGACTTTCCGTGTCCACCGACCCGGTTAAAGCGCCGGACATTCGCCTTTCGTCCTCTCATTTTCGTAAACAATACCCCAACCACGAGAAGGTAGTGAGTAGGACTTCCCTGGCAGAGGCTGTATACGCGTGGCGATGTGAGAGCATTTCGAGAGGGAGAGCTGACTCTCCCCACTCTCGGCCCTACCAGGGCATTTGTGGGCTTTAAAGCGTTTTGAATATTTGGCAATTTATCAAACGAAAGATAAAGATATACGTATTTGTCCAAAAAATTGAGGGTTTACTTTAAAATGTTGATTTACAGTTCAAGCCAATCGCATATATATGATCAGACGCTGAATTGTAAAACCATAGTGCAATCAAAGCATGTAAAGAGGTCACCCTAATAATTATAATCCGAAATTAATATTATCCTTGCCCAATAGTACAAAATTACTTAAATCTAACAATAATTGATTGTAAACACACTAAGAGATATTTTGTACGATTGCATGGATTAGATTACCATACCACAATATGAGCAAACAAGAAACAACTGTTTCGTGATTTTAAGTTACTATCTATCCATAAAGAGTACAGAGTTGTAGTGATCCTGTTTATTACATTTAACAGCATTAGACAGGAATCACAAAAGACTAAAACATTGACGTAACTCAACAGACATAAAGAGTTCATCAGTTTGTGAACTCTTTATGTCTGTTGAGTTACGTCAATGGGACCGTCTACTGCAACTGTGCACAGACCACAACCTGTTTCTGGCTAGCACTAACTTTCGGCACAGTCATCGCCGATGTGCCACCTGGCGTCCTCCCTCTGCATCTCAAGCCTGGACTCAGATTGATCACATAGCGATCAGCTACCGCTGGCGTGGTTGTGTACAAGACTGCCGCTCCTTTTGGAGTACCTATCTGGACTCTGACCATGCCTTGGTCTGCGCCAATCTTGCCTTACTTTTCAGTGGACAACGAAGTGAACGCCATCAACGGATTGATGTTAGCAAGCTGGTTGCAACTTCTGTTGCAAGTAAGTATCGAACCGAGCTAGCCTCTAGGCTAGCTACCACTCCACCGAAAAGTATAGATGAGCATTGGTTGCAATTGCATGACGCCATGAAAATGGCGGGAACAGTCAGTTGTGGGTTTGCGAAACGTCCCGCTTTTAAGCACTGGGTTTCTTCTGGTTCCTTACAACTCATTGAAGCCCGTCGGTCTACTCCGGGTGACCGTGAGTTTGACCATAAACGAAGGATGTTACGTGAGGAAATTGGGCAAAGCTTGCGTAAGGACCGAGAGGCCTGGTGGTCGATGCGTGCTAATGAGTTGGAAGCAGCAGCTGCATCTGGTAACTGCCGGAAGCTCTTCCAGCTCATCCGAGCCACTGGCAGCAAGAAGTCTGGTGTGAGTGAAACAATCTGCGAGGATGATGGGATGCCAATCACTAACATCCATCGACGTCTTGGACGATGGGCAGAATTTTTCGAAGGGCAGTTCAACTGGCCTGCTGCTCCGGCAACATCGGTCAGACTGTCCTGCCCTCCATGGCCGGTGACGACTGAGAAGTTTATTAACATCCTAAAAGCCCTGTATAAAAACACCTCAGGCAGAGTGAGGACATACAACCACCTCTCTCCATTGTTCCATTCGAGCAGTGGGGTTAGGCAGGGTTGCCCAATCTCACCATTCCTCTTCAACTTTGCCATCGATGACATTCTGGAAACAGCTCTGATGAATGTAAGTAATGGTGGTGTGGATCTGTTGCCTGGAGAAAGACTTCTCGACCTTGAGTATGCGGACGATATTGTCTTACTGTGCGATAATGCCCAAGGCATGCAATCCGCACTTAATCAGTTGGCAATCAGTGTCCGTAGGTATGGTATGTGCTTTGCACCTTCGAAGTGCAAAGTACTTCTACAAGACTGGCAGGATTCCAATCCTGTACTCACCCTGGATGGTGAGCAGATAGAAGTAGTTGAGAAGTTCGTGTATCTGGGTAGCTGCATAAGTGCTGGTGGGGGGGTGAGTGATGAGATCAATGCACGAATAGTGAAAGCCAGAGCGGCTTATGCCAATCTGGGCCACCTTTGGCGCCTTCGTGATGTTAGTCTGGCTGTAAAAGGCCGGATCTACAACGCGTCGGTGAGAGCAGTTTTGCTCTATGCTTGTGAAACCTGGCCTCTCCGAGTTGAGGACGTTAGACGACCCTCTGTGTTCGATCATCGCTGTCTCCGAAGGATTGCTGACATTCAGTGGCAACACCATGTCAGTAATGCAGAGGTTCGGCATCGTGTGTTCGGGCACAGAGATGATAACTCAATTGGTGTCACCATCTTGAAACACCGACTTCGGTGGCTTGGACATGTTCTACGAATGTCGTCCCAGAGAATTCCACGTCGTGCATTATTTGCCGACTCTGGGACTGGTTGGAAGAAGAGGAGAGGTGGTCAGTGCATGACATGGTGTCGTGGCATGAAAGAAAGCTGCAAAGGACTGGCTTGTGTTGGTCCTTCACGACTCCCTGGCTGGGGTCCGAGAGATGGTGCTACACAGTGGCTAGAGACGTTATCAGATATGGCTCAGAATAGAAGCCAGTGGCGATCCTGCTGTAACCTTCTTTTACTTTCTTCATAAAAAGTGGTTGTGTCCCCTTTACCTGAAAGATTTCTTCTGATTGTACCTTTTCGTTCCGTCGTTACTACCACACTACCTTACTCCAATCTCTTCGTCATTGTTCTCTTTTTCTTTTTTTTCTTTCTACTTCTCTTCGAATTCTCATTGTTTTGTGTGGCGCATATATATTGGCGCTCTCTTGTACCAATATTTATGTGTTCAAATAAATAAATAAATAAAACTCAACAGACAAATACAGCGTACATTCACTAGGTTTAATGTCACGGCAAAAATTAATAAACACGAAAAACACGAAAAAATCAGTAGACTAAATTCAAACGGCACATTAATTTGGGCAGATAGTGGTGATAATCGTTCCAAGAACCCACAAAAAATTCTGTAGACAGTTCTGAGATTATTAAGCTTTCTATCGAGGTAGGCAGACATTGAAAATAGACAGAATTTGCATAAACAATTATCACTGGATGGCTGTTCAATGCAATGATGACGATAAAAAGTGAAAATGTGAAACTCAGCTAATTTACTGAGTCGCCATTCATTCAAAATGAGAATCTAGTCCTTACAGAAGGATCAAATTTGAAAACCAACACAGTCTACTCATTTTCAGTATAGACTGCAAGAATAACCAGAGTCCCAACAAAATGAGATGTCTGAAAATCATATGAATGTATTACGGCACGAAACACAAGGGAACAAAAAAAACGAATTCGTACTACATTCAGAAAACTGATATGACGAAAAATAATACTTAGGAATTTTACAATAACCAGAAAGATATCAATATCGAACAAAAATAATTACTTTAATAACATAATCAAACAAATAACTAAAGACTTACATTTTCTGGAACTTTAGTCAAGCAGCAATCTACAAAATCTTTGAATACCTTACTAAAATCGCCAGTCAACTGAGGAGAAGGGTTCTTTGGGATAAGCATGAGAACACGTATTGGATGTAGGTCAGCATTAGGTGGTTCGCCTTTAGCTAATTCAATGGCTGTAATTCCTGTAGACCATATATCTACCTAGAAAATCCAAAGGACAATTTACAGTTTGTTATTAAATAAAACGTCGAGATCAATAAACAACCCAGTAATTTGTAAGTCAAATTTATTAAGCAGAAAATACAGAAAAAAATAGGTAAGTAGCGAAGATTATTTCAACAGTGACTCCTTAACGGATCCAAAACAGACCAAATGAGTAGCAAGTGTTAAAAGCTGTGTGATGTTAGTTCATTTTTATCATTGGAAACCCCTTTGCTGACAGAAAAGTACAAGCAACTCAGATAAAAAAAATAATTACGGTATAATGTCATGGTTTAAAGTGATTTCGTCGTTATCTGCAGTAACACTTGAATAAAACTGCCATCCTCCAGTAAACAAATAAAATGCAATCAAATATCTGCAAATACACCAGCATCAAAGGAAAACAATCTAAGTGGTAATGATCACTTCATTCGACACCGTTTGGTTAAAAAAAACCCTCAGAACGTGGTTGGCAAAAACATACGTAATGAAGTCGGAATACTGTATACATATACGAATTCCTCCGTGATCATTATTAAGGTATTCCTATCCTAGTAATAGAGAGATGGCTGTTTGGTGAGATTGCATCTGACTCTCAATACCTACCTTATACCTTAATCAATCTTACTGAACATTATAGTTCATAACTTATGAAGTTAACCCTACAAGACTTGATGTTTTCCCATAACTGAGATTAGTTGTGACATTTTCTTCCTTAAGAAATGAAGGTTCGACATCAAACTCACATGAGGGTTAGTGGTAATCGGGATGCAGTTAAAGTGAGGGACTGTCCTTCAAACTACCCTACCTACTGTTTTAGTCACTTGGTCTGAGAACATTATGTGATTGTAGTGAGTTCCACTGACACCCAACTGTTTATTTCAACTATTTGGTAAGTCTGAACATACTTTATTGTTGTCTGTCGTGGCTGTCTTCCCTATACGTATATCTCTCGTTGCCCACTATTGCCTACGACTATTCTGTGGACATTGTATGTCTAAATTACTTACGATTCTTTTGGACAGGATTTCAAGTATTTATTAGTTGACCAGAAACTACTGAAATTTACTAGAACTTTTGGTTTACATCGATAATAGAGGTAACAGCTGGTTTTACAGAAGAATACAGATCATGCAAGGCTACCTCAGGATAGTCTTTTCATCTTTTGCTGAGCAACAAAATAGTTTTTAGTTAGATACATTTCAGTATTCAAAAGGAGCTTAAAAAGTTCTCTTGTTACAAAGCTGATGTGTCCCGCAGGACAGATACATGTGTGTTTGAACTAAAACATGACCATACTGCAGAAATGTGCCTCAAAAAGAGCGGCAGTTTCCTAACAAGCTTTTCCAGAAATAGATTATGACAATATGGTCTACTTGGACTCGCTAACACGATAAATCTTAAGGTCGAATATTGTTTCTTTTGGGCCTAAAACTGTTAGGGAAAAAATTCCTTATCTAAGTAGAGCTGTGGTATGTATCCAATAGCTTTTTTCGAGCTGAAAGAATAAAGCTTATATCTAATTAATTTTAGCTTGACTAAATTTGTCGATATGGTCTTAAAAATTACCCGCTACAGCTACTGGATCTAAGTGCCTTGTCTTACAGAAAGGTCTGAAGGCTCTAGGTTAAATTTATGCTACATCTTATCTAGGTCGTAGTCAACAAAGTAATGCTCATAATGGAGCGGGGGCTTAGCAGTAAAGGCGTTGAACTTCCGGTTACTAAGTTCCACGTTTGAACCCCGCTCCACCTACTTCGGTTTGAGAAGCCGGATAATATCACCAGCCCTCATACCCAAGTACCCGGTGAACGGGTTTATTTGTTTAGTTAATTATTCGTATGCAAAGAAAACGGACAAGCAGCAGCGTCTGTCCCCAGTGTTGGGGATGGTTGGAAGAAAGTTAGGGGCAGCCGAACCAAAACGTGGCATCAGTGCTTGAATTCACTAACTTTCAGTGTTAGACATGTTAGTAGATGCAGACTACGTGGTTGGGGTCCGCGTGACCATAGTAACCAATGGATGGATATCTCTACATAAAATCTTTCTTTTATATATTATCACCATTGAGTTAACGGCTTCTATGAATCCGATGTTCGTCTTGCTGTGCTAATGGGGTATGGCAACTTGGACCGATGCATATATGTGCTTGATCCTACGTTGTGGTTGACTGTCTGTCCCCATTCTTCTGAATTTCTACATTCCAATTTCATTTCACAAAGCATGATCTAATACAAATGTTGTCTAATGAAACCAATAAAGCGAAAATATCAGGAGCACGAAGTGAGCAAAAGTGATATCAATTCCAGGATGCTAAACAGATAAGCATAAAGAATATGGTTAGACAAAAAGGGTTGAAATAAAGGAACAGAAGCATCAAGTATTCTTAAAATTACAAACTTAGATAATAATAATAATAATAATAATAATAATAATAATAATAATAATAATAATAATAATAATAATAGAAATTACTCTGACTCATCAGTAGAGGTCATTAAACAATGTTAATGGTTGTCATATAGAGTCTGCACTTTACAAGCCGGCTGATAACAGTCGACAATGACCCTTTGGACGTTATTTTGTCGTCTTTTAAATTCACTGTACATCTGGGTAGCTAAAACTGAGCGTAACACATTTAAAATACCTCAGCGGACTCGGCATTCTTAAATAATGCCTAATATCAGCATTGAGAGACACATGAGATAATATCGACTGAATTCAGTTCAGAAGGGCCTCTTTTTAGACCAAGATTCCCAAAATCGAGAGATGTTGTTAAGAGTCTAAATAATCTAAGGTCAGAACGATTTGGTTATCCAACCAGAGCAAAGTTCAATAGTGTTCGCTCATGCGACATTTTTATCGAATTTGACAAAATTCGAACACTGGAATCCTTTACATCTAGTTTAGTGTTATTTTGAAAGGCCAGGGACAACATTATGTAAACTGTAACCGTTAGTACTGATTATGTAAACCGGAAAGATAAAGCACAGTAAGTGTATGAAAACAGAAGGAAATTTAGTAAACAAGGGGGGGTTGATAGAAAACAAGATGAACCCGAGTCCTGTTAGATAAATGTGAGGAACGGACGTTTCTTGTTAGTTCATACATTGATAAGTTGCGAATTCCTATATATCCAGAACGTGAACTAAGACTGATAACATTCTGCATTCGGAAACATGACCAGGGACCAAAGGTGGATTGCTTGAGGCCAGTTACATGAAACTTTTAGTGAATTCTTTTGGTTGAATTAGCCCCACATTAATAACTTATCGGAGGCAAAGAGAATCCGCTACTCAAACATGTGCTGGTTTTATGACTGAACATTTCTAACATCGGACTATTTATTTAGACAAATAAACATTGGTACAAGGAGGCACTAAGTATATGTGCGCCACATAAACCATTCGATTTGTGTGAGGACTGGGATATTGCCCGGGTGCCCAAACCGAAGCAGGTCTATAGATGCTGATCATCTATAGGACACATCTTGCTCCGGTCACACTGGCATTCAATAGTACAATTTTACTGTAGATTATTTATTTTATTTATTTATTTGAACACGTAAATATTGGTATAAGGGGGCACCAGATACATACACACCATAAAATAATAATGAGAATAGGAAGAGATAAAAAATGTAAGGTGCGTGTAAAAAGAAAAAAAGAATAATAACGACCACAAATTAGTGTATGGTAGTAAAATAATAATAATGGGAGAAACAGAAAAATGCAACCAGAAAGAATTCTTTCAGTTAAAGAAGTTACGGTCACCTGTTATAAAGATAGTAAAAAAGGTTACAGCAGGATCGCCACTGGCTTCTATTCTGAGCCATAACTGATAACGTCTCTAGCCACTGTGTTGCACCATCTCTAGGACCCCAACCAGGGAGTCGTGAAGGACCAACAGAAGCCAGTCTTGTGCATCTTTCTCTCGTACTACGACACTTTACTGTAGAACTGATGATCCACTAATTTTAGTTTTACCACACTCCAACACTTGACTGCAATGTTAGGACCTTGGTAAGGATTCCGGTCAACATAACTCAATTATGTCGTCACAAAAGATACAATAGATCATCATGTTATTGTAGTATGGTCGCAGATTATAAAGACAGTCTCATCCTGACTATTATGAGACTGATAGTTTAGAATTTAGTCCTTAGTATGTATAATACTATTCAAGTAAGACGCCATTTGGACGTAGTCCTCTAAGTGACTTAAGTAGCAATATAACAATCTAGTGGGTGCATCGATACGACTTCAACCACCCAAAGGTAAAATGTTACTTAAGGACCAATCCACTCCAGTATCACAGAAAATGAAGTAGCAATGAGGGCTGACCATGTGACAATCTGAATACTAGTAGTCCTAAGTTAATAAGTGACACATGATCACAGATGTGAAAACTTTGTCTGACTTGGATAACCAACAATATCCATGGTTCAGCCTCAAACTTCATTTGCTTGTCAAGGGGCGAGTATACTATGCAAAATTTCGTTTTATATTACTCTGTCTATAAAACTTGATTTCTTAGAGTAAATAAATACACCTGTTGCTAGCATTTGATTACAGGTATACTTGAACCTTTCCTTATAAATGATGAAACCATAGATTTAGCAATCCAGAGATCAAGAAGTGGGTACAAATTAGGGATGCCCGATTAATGCATGAGGATGCAGCTATTAGTACAAGTTCAATACCTGAGAGCTTATGAAGGTACAAAGTATTGTATATGATTTCAGTACTTATGTGTTTATATATCATGAGAAAGAAAATTAAATTTGAGAAGTTTGGAACAAAAAACTATGAACCCTTTACTGTTCCGTCAGTTAGGAACTCCCGAATGCGAGTCGAATTCTTTGCTTTAAAAAAGGCCTTTACAGATGAATATTTGGGTGTTAAGTACTGAAGCAAACATGTAGACAGTCCTGAGAACAACTGACCTTAAAATCATACGCATATCGCTGAATTAATTCTGGAGCCATCCAGAATGGGGTCCCCACAAAGGTTCCACGCTTAGTTATAGTTGAACTCAACTGACCAGCGACGCCAAAGTCAGCCAATTTTACATCACCACTGTAGGAAAGCAGGACATTAGCAGCTATCAAAAGGCGAATAGTATACCAATTAATTAATTAGTTCCAGTGAAAACGAAAAATAAACATGGAAAAGTAAAGCTGAATACGGGCCAATGTCAACAACATGAAGGATATGTAGTGGTAATATGAATCAAGACGTAATACAGGAACAGAATAAGCAAGCAAACAGAAATACTTAAATTGATAGAGTTGTTCACTTCGGTCTACTATCAAAATGGGAAAAGCCATTACTACCCATGGACAAGTAGACATTGATAGGCTATCTATAATCAAAAGTGGACAAAGAAAGTCAAACTAACTGAGGTAGCTTATGAGAAGTGGAGTGCATAAGCAGATACTTTTAACTGTCTTTTGTTAATTATCAGTTGAGTTTATGAGCCGACGAGACTATAATTTATGGGCCAACCAATCACATTTACGATAGGTCTTGGATTTTAGCGCGAGCTTCATTCAACCGTTTGGCTAAATCGTGTTTTGGCATTTTAGCTTGTCTGTTCGTGATGAAAACCATGGATTTAATTCCTAATCCTACCCATCAATTGTAAATCATAACCCTTATTCTTTAAACTACTTCATAATCCTCATTTAGCTCTAGGAAGCAGATGGGCATTCTTTTGGTCACTTTAGAGTCGCTCAAAGTTCGTCCATAAATTATTATCACCGCTTCATTTTGACCTATAGACTATCATGATCCGATTCGCTATTTCTAAATCGTATTTAGTTTATTGATTACCGTCTCCAACAGTCACAGCCACTTTTTGGCTTGATCCTGTACAATTTTTATTTTTAATGGTTTGTGGTCTAATTTGCTTGTATATAAACCAAGTATTTCTGATATAAACTAATCATATAGTGAAAGCTGGTATTGGTGTTCTGGACTCAACAGGCAGGGCTAGGCAGAAAAGGGACCAGTAAGGACGCTAGGTTGTCCATGTCAGTCAATACGTCATTGCTGTGGCAATGTTAAGATTGTATAAGTCGTATTCTGATTGGCGAATAATTCACGTGGTATTTAACGGGTAAAAGTCGCAACACCGATTTTGATGAGGATTTCTTGCTAATCACTGGTTCGACTGTATACTTTGCGTCAACTGTCTAGCCTCTATCTGAGGATTATAAATCCGGAAGCATCCATGAGACTTATCATTAAAATATGTTATGTCGAAATGTTTTCCTATAGATACTCTACAAACCACTCCACATATCTACCCTGATCTTCTAAATCACGAGGCCTGTTTTAAAAGTAGAAAACAGCTGTAAAAGCTTGAGAATTCACCAACACACAACAACAGATGAGGAGTTATCAGACCTCTATAAGACTGAACATCCACAGCTTATCCACAATTATAAGGATGAACTTTCATCGGAAATCTTTAGAATAAACCAATTCATCAAACGAATTTAAGAATGAAATGTTACAAATAACAAACCTTTAATATCTCTATGAATTTTACTTTGACTATGTAGGTAATCTAGTCCCTTTAATATCTCTCTCAAAATAGTGGATATATGAACTTCTGGTATAGGTCCCGGTTTCATTAAATCAAGTGCCGATCCACCACCTAAGTATTCCATGACGATCCATAGTGTAGTGTCTTTCAAGTAAGAACCATGATACTTTGTGATATACGGGCTGTTGCACTGAGACAAAACTTTGATCTCCTGCTGAATATCCTCAATCTCATCCTCAGCTGCTTCCAGATCAATAAGCTTGATAGCTACAACTTCTCTTGTCCTTCTATCCACACCCTTATAAACTTCCCCGAAAGAGCCTCTTCCGATCCGTTCAAGAATGTCATAAATGGTCTCTGGGTTTACATTCTATACGACAAAAAAATGAAACGTGTGAAGGTTGAATACCATAAACATGACTGCAATCATAGATTAATGAACAAAACACTTACAACTTTTAACTGTGTTCCCCTTGGATCAGGCATAATGTGAAACGAGTCTAAAACCCCCCGCTTTACCTAAGTGGATTAAAACAAATAAACATTTTACGGTCTAAAATTTTTTTTAAAAGTACTAAACGTTCAGCTCTTATATAAAACTTTATTTTAAAAGTGATTATATCTCATCACACTAAGTATTTACATGTCAACTGAAACAAGGCAGATTATTTATTTAGAACTTTGATTGGCTGGGTGAAAATCACAAACTGTTTACTGCTTGTCTTGGTCTTCAATAAGAGGTTTGAGCTGTAAACAAGTACAACTTGCTCTGATGGTTGAACTATATTAATTGGTGATTGAAGAATCAAGCTTAAAATAATCACTCAAAGTACCGATGGAACTTAAAGAAATCTCAACCCTTCCTTTTAAAGAATCAGGAGGAGGAGTGGTCTTCTTAGCAGCAAAATAATAGATCTTTGAAAAATGATCATTGATGATGTTGCAAATTATTACCATATTCCCTTTTTATCTCCCTGTATTACACTGACTGGAGCTTGACTTATGCAAAACGAGTAGATGTTACTTCTCGATACATTTAACTTTTTGGCTGCTCTTTCTTCTCCTAACTCAAATAGAGCGAGATACCTCTCGAGGTGGAAGAACATGGTGATTTATTATTTTCACATGAAACTTTGAGTAACCACCTTAAACTGTCTTGAATAGTTTGGAAGTTAAATTTTAGAATTGTGTGAGGTAACCTGATAGCTGAGTACAAATTACTGACAGCTAATTGTAAGACTCCTAAATTTTCATAAAGACTGATGCACATATCCTTATCTATGGAAGAAATTGTGCTAGTGTAATGAACTAGGATGCACAAGGATGATATTTAACTACCATGCATCATTAGCATACTACACTTACATTAAGTTGAAACGTGTTTTTAGCAGAGAAATCATTTATCCTCTATTATGTCCACGTCTGAATCTAACATAATCTCTTTATATTCAATACTCCGTCACAACTAGGAATGTATACTCCGACATTCACCTGAAACAATGTACGTTTAGTCCTAACGCGATTTGCATTCCCCAAAATTTTGCTGTGTCCTTCGGCAACTAAAGTACCATTTTCGGTCCAAAGAATCTGTCCTGAGCTTTACAATTGGTAGATTACTTTTCTTTTTGAGTTTTACCCAGGTTGATAGTTGACTGTGGTTTTTCCTCAGCTTGCTATCCGGTTTTTAAGCTTTTTACGTCAGTGCTAGTTTGATTTTATCCTAACCTTGTATACCACCCGTTTTGCCTGTTTTCAATGTACCATTTTTGTCTTATAGTCGTAGACTTCTGCTCGAACAATTTACATCACCACAGTAATGAAAAATGCATGCAAGTGACCCGAATGCCGTTTTGCTGTTACCTCTAGCATGCAGCGTGACAAATGTACGGACCTTACAGTAACTGCTTACAACAGACTTAGTAAAGTGGATCGTGGGTGGGTTCGTAGTACATTCATCGTGAACGCTGAGGTTTTACTGAACAACTTCATCATTCTCATGACAGAAAACGTTGTCAGCAAACCAGAAAAAGGCAATCCTAAAACGCATAAACAAACAAAGACGCGTAGTGAGGACAAGAAGATGGACTTCGACAACACCAGTATCGTCCGAACATGCATCGACACTGGAGAGGACATGCTGAAGCTCAGCACCATCATAACATCGACAGTACTAGACTTCCTCGGCAAACTTTGGTCTCCCAGTACAGGATCCTTGAATGCAACCGTGGTCCCCAAAAACTGTGGGCGGTTTGACCCTTGTCAACAAAGTTGAAAAGGACTGGGTGTCACCGTCTAAGAAGCATAACATCCCAGGAATCGTAGTAAAATCAACTGGTGATTTGGCCGTACAGTCTACCTCTAAGATTGTTCAGCCGGTCAGAAATGAGAACTGAAATTTAAAACGCACTTCAACCACCAAACAATAATGTCCTCAACGTGAACGTGCCCGAGAACCTGGGAAAACAATCACTGTTGCAGATGGTTCTCTCATAATCATGAACCTGAAAGACAGCCCTGATCTTCCTTCAGTCTGCAGGACAAAAATGATGGGATGCTCCGGAAAGATTTAATCAGGAGACTCAAACTCCCAAGAATAGAGCTGTTGACGGTCACACTGCTCACTCGCGGGAAGGACTCTGTGCATCAAAATCACCCAAGACTACTTCGTTTAACGCTTACTAACGCCGCCGACGTAGAGGATGTGTTACTGGTTGGTCATTCACTGAAATCAGATGAAACTGTAAGAACACTACCTGATATACCGTATTCTGAGCTCAATCTCATCAGGAACACTCCCCCTAAGGACAGAGGATATCAAATCGGGAAAACCTGTATAGGTATGTTACCTGTCTACTCACATGGGACTCATATAGATAAACAGGGCAGGGAAGCTCATGCGTTTCAAATTGAAACCATAAACTGCTTATATACGAGCGTCGCAAGTTTACCGAACAATATGGATTAAGTGCGTGAACTTACTAACGCTAATAATACTTATCTGATCGGAATATCTGAAACACGGATATCTTCTCAATTTACGGACGGGGAGCTAGCAATACCCGAGGTGTCTTTGTTTCTTCACGGCAGAAAAACTGGAGTGGGGGACGGAGTATCCTGATACTTTGATTTTGCTTAGAGGTACACCAGCCACAAATTTACTTAAATAAAAATAGAGTCATAGCACTCAAATCAGTACATGATCTATGAATTATTTACATAGGAAGCCTAACGTTTGAAGCACATACCCCGTTTATTACTTCTGAATCTAGACCGCTAATTGGTTTCACAATGAAAAATTTCTTCACAACGGAGGCAAAGCTTACCTTAAATATTGCACTTTTATCTTCACAAATATGAATACCGTAGACAAGAATAGAAAATGTTTAAAGACGCTTGACACGTCAACTGCTAGGATGTGACTCTTTCGTGACTGTAGGTAACTCTCGTGCTACTGATAGAAGAAACCGAACTAATAGTGAATAGGTCTTTATTTCGATCTTCGCGCAGTCACAGTGGAGCGTGGGATTACCTATTCAGACAAACAAAGCCTCTCAACATTCAATGTAAGATAGTAGGAAATATAACGCTTATATAAAATAAGGAAGTGAATGAATACTTGAACTCTATTGTTTTGACATATTCTTAGTAGTTTGAGGTCAACTATTAACCAATCAACCTAATCTGTTACAACTCCACTCTCGACTACACATAAAGATGTAAGCACTTCTCCTTAGAACTTTAATGGTACCGTCGGCTAAAGAATAATCTAATATTTATATACATAGCAATATATGGACTTACATTTCTAACCTCCTGCCCAACCATGATTTGTGGCCCAGTTTACAGACTCAGGAACAACACATATACACTACTTACTGCGATACATCAAAAACCAATGCGTTGTACGTTTTTTACGGTGCGATATGGCTTACTGTGGAACAGGTTGCCAATAACTATCCATAACTGTGACACCCACTAAGTTCAAAAGACTGATAACTCTGTTACTAGACTCTAAAGAGCTTCATCAACTATTCCTTGGACTCCCACCCACCAGTGAGGCACTTTATTATGGAGCGCTTAGTATTTACACTGATCATGAATATAACGGACTCCATTGTCATTAATATGAATATAACCAAATGATGAAACATATGGTTTACCCTCTTCCACTAATCATTGATTATTAGTTATGTCCTTATGCACCTACTCGTTGCTTTCAGATTTCGAATTGCTCTAATGTTTAAAGTTGTATTATTCTTCCTAAGTGTCAAATCCTATATCTTTACAAGTAGACATATAACTAATTAAAATTATGGATTCTGATCAACTGAGGTATATCATAAGAACCTTATAATGTCTTAAACTCTTGTGATTCTATCAATGTTTTGTTTTTTCACTCTGGAAATTTATATTCCTATACTCTTTCACATTCTTTGACTTGCTATCTGTCCTTACCATCTGTAAACCACATATAATCTGAGCAGTACCCAATAACTTATACCATTAGTTATCTCCATGGTAGTGTGATACACTAGCTGGGTATCTCACCCACAATACAGAAGCTTTAACCATCTGATCTGATTTACTTGTATCATGGAACTAGTAGAGATAGTGTATTCCAACAAGAGGCTTAGATTAAAGCAATATTCATGCACACCACAAACTTAAGAGAGCCTAACATTACAAAAACAGGAAGGGAAATGTTACTGACCGGTAAACATGGTGGTGATAAGTTAACTCTAATCTACACATGTCCGTGTAGCATGACATTTTGTCAAATTACGGCTCCTTATGGTCTAGTGGAATGTCACGAACAAATGGTACTGATGATAATTTGCTATGCAAAATAACTCTTTAAATCGGGTTTGAAACGCTGAATTGGTTCCACTTCCTACCGAGTAATCCTATTAAAAGCAAAACCAGACAATTCGCTAAAATCAAAGCCTACTCATAACCCTATAAAATCTATAAAAATAAAAACGAGCTGAAATGGCTTAGTCAAAATGGGAAGTCAGCCATTTGTGTATCATAATACTGTTTCCATTACCATATTTTAAAACTACACATAATTCTATACTTTCAGCTTCTTCTCAAATTACCTCCATTTATTCACTCCTCTATCCACTCATACCCTATTTACGCTTATTTTCTCCAACGTATTGGAATGCTCTTTCTTGAAAAGTACCTCAACAGAAGAGAACTAGACTATGTAGTCATACCTTAACTATTCCTTCATAAATAAGAGAACTTTGATAGGTATGAGCATTGTCTGCTCTCCTTCGCGTCCCTTATTTTTCTTGCCTTCCTTTTCAGCCTCCTCGATATATGCCACCGAAAACATGTATGGAACGGGGGACATCAGCTTGTATCTTCATTAATGCCTCAGGTGTTCCAGAGGGATATAAGGGTACGCTTTACAGAAGCTCTCAAATTTACGTGAATTTACTCCCGACTATCAGTTGCACGTCTCGACGCAACCTCCATATTGACGATACGAGTCTTACTAATATTATTTAC